CCCTGACTTTGGGAGTCCAAGAGTTCAAAGTGTCATAGTGTTACAGAAAGGAAGTAAATCATATACATTTGACCCTTTTTTCATTTCAAATTTTTAAATGCAACTCTTAAAGCTTATTTTCAACAATATTAAAATTTAAAAAAAAAATCAGCCAATTGGGGTCACTGGGCCTTGACATTTTATCAATGAATGGAGAAATAAGTGGCCAACAGTCTGCAAACCAGATCCTTCAATGATGTTGAGAATAAATTCTGAAATTCTTTTTTTTATTCCTTCAAATTTCCATGAAAGAAGTGGAATATAATGCAATATTGTTCATGATACATAAAGCATCAATGTTTTGTTACTACATGAAAAAAAAACAAATAACATTTTGATTTGGCCTGCATTGTTTCAGTTTAACCACAGCTGAATAGATTACTGAGTTGTGAGTGAGTGCAGGTGGTGACACCTGACAGTTCACAAGTAGAAAAAGGTCAGAGGTTTGATGCTGTAGCAGCTGCGAAGCCTGATAATGAGATACTGCTCGAATTCTGTGTAGAAAATGTAAAATGCTAATGAGGAACTGAAGTGACTGATTACACTGAGACCGTGAGAAACGCGAAAATTAGTTCAACAACAAAAGTGTGTATGGGTGTGTGTGTGTGTGTGAAAAAAGTGGTTTAAAGCTAAAGGATCCCCCCATTCTCCTTGGAGAAGAGGTGATGTTTGCTTCTTGCCATAACACACCGGCCGCCTGCTTTGATGAGCAGCTGTTTTTTCCCCCTTTTCTCTTGTGCTGTTGTGTGAGCTGCTTCATTTGTTTCCTGACATCCATTTACCTTCAGATAAAAGAGGAGCAGCAGGAAAAGCAACGACCCCCTGAATACATAATGAAGGCCTGTCACTCTCAACAAAGCATTGAAAAAAAGCCTAATTCAAACGCCCACAGTCATTAGCTGCAGATTGGAATTGACAGCAAGGGGGCGCTGTGAGCAGAGAACACAGAGCATTCATCTTTTCTTTTGGCAGATACATGCTCTAAGCAACACATCTGGCAAAATCAAATGATTCAAAAACATTTTTTCACATTTTTGGCAATGTTATTAAATTGGTTTGCTTGAATTTTTAATGTTTTTGGTTAATTTACTGCATTTAAATGTTTTTGCATAACATGGAAGTCACATGTCAATGTTTTAATGCAAAAAACATTTTTTCGGGAATATCTTTGTAATTTAACCAATAAAAAATATTGCTTCACATGTAAAAAAAAAAACCATGATTTGGCTAATCTTTGGCTAATGTTAGGTTTTATGACAAAATAATTAACCCTTTGGTAAAATGCATTGACCTTTGAAACATTCTGTGAAATAGTTTTAGGTATTTTAGAAACTTTCTTCTGATTTTTGAAAAAGAAAATTAAACAAGAAAGGAGAAGGAATTCAAATATTAAGCCAACACTGCAAGAGAATACAATTTGCTGAGCAACTCCAATGGGATGACAACAGTCCAGTCTCCATATCAAGGACTTTGTGACTGGTTAAAAAAAAACAAAAAACAATGCCATGGATGCTAGTTAATTTGTGCTGACAACCAGGGGTTGTAAACAGATCCATACCTTTCTTTGTTTGACAGGAATGTAAAATGGTGAACAATGAGAAACGTTCAGATTTGATCAGGGCACATCTTCCACCTCGCTGTTTACTCCTTTTATTGCTTTACCTCTCTTTCCCCTGCAGGTTCCTTTACCGCCGCAGAACCGATCCCGGCTCTGCACCCAATAACGGCAGCGAGGGAAATATCGGGACTATTCAATTAGAGTGCCGCACAGCTCTGTGTAGCTGACGTGTGGAAATTGTAATTTCCCAGACATGATTGATGGCAGTAATACACAACGTCGTGTGAGTGCGGAGATGCGAGACTGAGGTGGGAATAACACCGCCCTCTGGCTATGTTGAGCACTGCTGATGGCCTCAAACAAACTTACCTCACTGTAGCTGTGTGTGTGTGTGTGTGTGTGTGTGTGTGTGTGTGTGTGTAGCTTTGCGGACTGGTGTGTTTTGGATGGTAAGGGGCCTCTGCAGGTGTGTTTGAGTGCTGCTATTGTTCAGTTGCCATCAGAATTCTCCACTTTTAGGAGAAAGTGGAGAAAACTTTTATTCATAAATATCAGTGAACAATACCAATTTAAAGCAGAGGGCGATGTGCTTCGTTGTTACAAAACACATCAAATAACCACTGCATGATCGCTACTTGCAACAAAGACGTGGGAAAGTAAATGTAAAAATGTTGCCATCCTAACTCAGCAAGGAATTAGAAATGTCAGCTTTTAGTCACTGTACAAAGAACCATTAATCAAAGACAAAGAACAGTACCAGGAACTATGTCTCCTTCTAGTACTATGAACGACAACCACATTCATTTCCACAGTAGTAACAAGTACTAGATGCTGGGATAGTACCGGCAACTGACATTATCATTACAACTGTCTCGCTCTGACTGTTGGACATCTGGTAGCAGTAGCTGATAGATATTTGTTTTTACTGCTATAACAAATACAAAAGTCTTCACCCAAAACAGAAATCATTCATATAATTTTCTCTGGATTTTCTCGGCAGTAAATACAGACACAACAAATAAAATAAAAATCTGAATTATTCCAACACATTCATACAGATGATCACAATAACTATTAAGAAACAGCAGCTCTTCTAGATTTCCTTTTTTTTTTTAGTAAACTGTTACCTGAGGAGCTGCTGCTGCTGCTGCTGAAGGCTCAGGAAGGGAACAGGGGAAGGACTCTTCACACACGGCCAGGCTCCGCACCAGCCTTAGCCTGGTACTGGACTGAGGGGAGGAGTGTAGGTGGGTACGGTTAAAACCACACACACAGTTTTTTTTCCCACCGTAACTGCACCAACAACTTCACAGCCATGAGCTCAGTGTAACAAACACAGCTGATTATTATTGCAGCCAAATATCACAGGCGGCTTCAGTTTTTAGCTGACGATTGTTCCAGAGTGTTGGGGGTGATGGTAGACCTATGGATGCCTGTCTCTCTTGTAACTTCATCAAAATGAACCTTTGTTTTAAAATCTGCAGGTGGAACTAGAGATCTCAGCGTTTACATTAAATGTAAAACACACGAAAATGCATCCTGAGGGAAAACGGAATCTGCCGTAGATATTCTACATGCGGAGACAAGATACATGCATGTGTCAGTGCCTGAGTTTTACACAATCAGCACGGAAAACGATTTGCTGTTTTGTTTAAGTAATCATTTAAATTGCTTTTTTGCACTAGCTTTTAGCCAATTTGCCTTATCACTTGCAATATTGAAGCTTTTCCCTAGAGAGGTTTTATCTGTGCTTACTACCCTTCTTGTTTTTGTCATTTTAGTTGGTTGGTCTGGAATATCGCTAATGCGATATTTTGCAAAGACTGGAATATTTCATTCTCTTGTCAAACATTACAATTTCTTGTGGGAACAAAAGCAAAACCTTCAACAACATTGTGTGTGGATCATATACAGTGAATACATTATACTGAATTTTAAAAGTCTTTTGAGTTACCATGCAATTTCTGGCCTCGGAAAATTTGATTGCTTTTTATAATGAGAAAAAAATATTATTTATGATTTTCTTTGGGATCTTACATTGACCTTAAATAAAAAGGAAACTATTCTTCACAAAAGCTCAGTCCTTTTTGGTTTGGATGCGGCAAAAATGAACACAACGAGAACATTTCAAACCGGTCACGTTCTCAAGCACAACAAACACCATTCACCACAAGCAGTCAACAGCAGCAGCAGCATCAGCAGCAATGACAGCATGTACAACCACATAGTACACATGCACAAAAGACGAGCTTTTCCAAGACGACGACATGCATGTGGTTTGGAGTTGTACCGTACCTTCGAGTACTTCACAGGCTGTCCGCAGCAAAGACAGGAGAGCAGTGAGTAAGAAGGACAAATACGAATCAAACACGACCACAAGAGATGTCTGGGAGAAAAATGACTCATGAAACTTTAACAAAAGAAAAAAGTGGGGAGCTTTGAATTAAACATGACTGGCCCACATTTTGTGCATTCATGCACGACAAGCTTTACAGGAGAGAGGATTCAACACAGGAGAAGGAAACAAAAACAGTCTTTACTGACAGAAAGTGTTTTTTATATGCATTCCTGAAGTGAGGGAAAAAGAAGATGAATTTAACTCAAGTTCATCTGTAAAAACAGACACCAAGAAGATGGATTTTTATGCAGCTAAGGCAGGTGTGTCCAAGCTTTGGCCTGTGGGACATCAATTGCACATACACTGGGTTCACCATCAATTATGTTAGGCATATATATTAATAAATATCATATGTGTTATAGATATGAAAAAATAATGAGGAAATAATACATATGTTTGCATGTATGTAAGTGATGTAACTGTACCCAAAAACCCATCTGTTTTGACATGATGATTTGGTCTGAAAAAAAAAAAAGCGGAGACACGTTTTTCTTGTCATTTATTAACAAATGACAAAATGACAAAAGGTTTTCAAACAAATAAAAGTATAACAAAAGAAAATCAAATCTAAAGTGCAGCCCCTCCTAGCTTTCATTCTTCATGACACTGCCTCTCTCAACTCCTCTGCTCTCATAAATTTGAGGAGTTTGCTCTGCCTTTGCACTTCAATCAAACCCACATTCTTATGATGCTGTTTCAAGTGCGTTACTGTGTTTGATGTATTACCAACGGTACAGCCAGTTTCAACTTAACAATGACAACACAATTTCCTTGCTGCATTCAATTTCCTTTCTCCACTCCTACTTTGGTCTAGCGAGAACTGTAGTGTTCTTAAACAGCAGACCCGAAAAGGATCGCTTCAATTCGATACAGGCAGCTTGTGTGCGCTAACCTCTAACTAATGTGGAGTTGTTGCACACAACTGAGTGACTCTCGCGAGCAGCGATTGAGTGCTGTCAACTCGTGTTCCAGGGGAAGCTGTGAGTAGAACTATATGTTCTACTCACAGTTAAAAAAAATACTAGGTTGCACATGTATTGAAGAATTTTTCGGTACACAGTATTTGTACGGTTCGATATTTATAAATGTACTGTTACAGTTTTATAGCATATCTATATTCATGTTCTTTTTTCTATTATTGTAAAACATTTGTAGTAAAGATCTAATTACTTTGCACTTGTGGAAGATTAACTGTTAAACATCTTTTTTTTTTTTATTATATACATTTTTACCCTTTTATCATTTTGTATGTTTTTCAAATTTTGGCTAACCTTTGATCCTTCCTTTGTTTTGCCATCTGTTCTCTGAATGTGAACTCAGGCTCCAATGTTTAGTAGGAAAATCAGTCTTCAAATGCTGTGACTTGATATAACTCATCTATTATAGCTTTACAGAACATGAGGAGACGTTTTATAGACAACCATGAAGTGTGGACAATTGCGCAAAAGACACATTTTCACTGAAAACACTTACAAAAAATATTAATTAAGCTTTTTGGCGTATTTAAATGTAAAAGTACTTTACTCCCACTAATAGACCCAGTACTAGTTCAGGATGACAATAAACACTCACTGACTCTGGATCTGGAGTGATGCTCTCTCTGTACTGGGAGCAGGAATTAATTTCTCCACAACATATGGTGTTTAAGTGGTGGCACTGTAGGGACACTTTTATTGACACACGTGCACACACACACAGAAGCAGCTCTCTCTCAGTGTGTGTGTGTGTGTGTGTGAGAGAGAGAGAGAGAGAGAGAGAGAGCTGAGGGGGGAGGAGGGTGTCACTGCTTCTGTGTTGTACACACTGATGGCTTTGTGTGTATGTTGTGAATTTACTGTACACACAGGGGAACAGGAGGAGAGTGAAGCAGACAGTCATTGCAGGATGACACCTGACTTACTTTTGGTAAATGACAGTGACCATCCTCAGGTTCTAATAAAATACACATTTTCACACACACACACATACTGTACATATACATACATACATATCCACATTTATAGTATATAAATAACTAATACAGAAATATAGTTTAAAAAATCTTGCAAAATAAATTAGATTTGAATAGCTACGTTTATTTCTATATTGAATTGACATGTTTTTCTTAAAACTATGATTTTTCTTAATCTCAGCTAATTTTTTTCTAACACACACTGCAACACAGACACAGACACACACATGAAAGCATGGCGCGCGTGCGTGCATTCTTCACACACACGCTGTTCTTTCCAGCTGTCCTCTAAAAATCAAAAGGACACACGAGCCCTCTCCTCACAGAGCTCCAGGGGCAAATCACACCTATAAAAAATTGAAATGGAGCGTTGTTCACACATCTCCAGAGCCTGTGACCTGCCGCGCCTTGCTCTGAATCAGGTAATATCGAGGAGGAGGAGGAGATGAGGGAGGAGGGCTGGGAGTGTGATCGCACCGCTACACCGGCTAATTGAGCGGTCGCGGGGGCCAGTGGGGAATGAACAATGCCGACAGGAGAAAAAAGGCAAGAGAGGAAGAGCAGTAGGCGGGGAGACGGGGGTAAGACAGGGAAAGGGCTGGAGTCAGCAGAAAGTAGGACGGCCGTCGGCCACCTGTCCTGCTGCAAAGGACGGTGCTGGAGAGCTGCAGGCAGATGGTGGCAAAGTCAACCAGTCTTTGTGCAACACCTCCACCACCGACAACCCCCATCAGACTGCTTTCACCTTCTCCTCTTCCTCCTTTGTTCCCTTGTCCTGCATACCTTGTCAGTCTCTCCCCGATCAACCAGTCAGGGCATATAACCACTGCTGGTCATGGACAGAATTACCTTCGCCTCTATTAAGACTGGAAATCACCAGCGGAAAGGTCAGATTATCCGTGGACATGGAATAATAATATCAGGGTGGAGTTTTTCAAGAGTGGAGGAAGAGTGAGATGTGAAGTCAGAGACATATTGAAGGATGCATTTAAATATTAGTTTTGTGTTTTCTTAAGGCACTGATAGATTGTCCACTGAGAATTGGTTCACTGATAGAAAGACAAAAAAAAAAAAAAGATTGTAAACTAAAGTCCACAGAGAACGATCAGCAAAATTAACTACCACCTGGTGAGCCACTGCTGCCTCCTGTGGTCAGTTCATGTTAACACACTGATTTGATCCATTTGTGTGGAAGAATTAATGGTTAAACACGTCATTAAAAGGACTTTAAAAAAGGCAGATTGTGTCCTCCTTTCTGAAGGCAGTATTAGGCTCAATGTATCTCAACAGCTACATTTCAATTAATCCTGAACTTGAATTTTGTCCTTAAATTAACAAGTCAGGAGGAATGATCCTCTCCTGCCTGGCATGTTCTCCTTCCTCCTCTTCAACTTACTGCAGCTCCCCCCATGCTGTTGTCATTCTGTTCCTAAGGTGACACACACACGCACGCAGGAAGTTGGTCGATAAGCCAGGACTGAGCTCCAGATTATCTGCTCTCTTGGTTCCATCGCTCCGCCTGGCTCCATCCAACAAGGCCAGATTGGCCTGAATCCTATTTTGAAGCAGACAATCCTTTCCCGTCTCGCTTTCCTAGTTATTCTTTCCTTTTCCACGCTGAGGGAGAGATCTTTGAATGTATTCTCACTAAAACTATCCCCCATCAAGTTTAACTGCAGCAGCAGTGACATACAGACTTCAGTTTTAGCCATTTATTTGAAAGCAATCTCAGCTGAAAAAAAACATGGCAGATCACCTCTTAAACAACTTGTTCAAGGGTTCTTACTTTTATAGCAGAAACGAGGAGTCTGCAAATGAGCTGCTGGCAAAGTAGAGAGGAGTCGAGTATCATTATTTTCAAGAATAATTTTACTTGTGGGAGCAGGAGCAGAAGCCAGGGAGTGTGTCCCTGAACGCTGCAGGTGACAGCAGAACCGGAGGGTAGTTTGTGTTTGACACTGACTGTCAGTCAAAGTTCATGCAGAAAACATGGTGGAGTGTCAGAGAAGATGATCTCAGTCTGGACTCAGGCTGAGTCCACAACCCATCAGTGATACAACAGAAAGGAGTGTAGCTGTGTGAATGTGTGTAAATGACATCTCCTGTGAGAGTGAATGGTCTTTACCTGTGTTTCCTTCTTAGTGCTGCCGCTCTGGGTCTGAATCTGGATCTGCTCTGAGACCTCAGACGTAGTGGCGCCGTCTCTCAGAGATGAAGCCGGGTCAGTGGTGGGGGGAACCTCAGCAGAAACCTTCATCACCTCACTGTTAGTGTTGTCGGACATTCTCATCGCAAAGTCTCACAAGGAGGAGCTGGTGAAGACAGAGAACCTGAGGGAGAGACCCATTCATTTAGAAAATGACTTCAAAATAATTAAAAATTCAATATATTCTCATTTTCCCTCAACTGAGTCTTTGTCATTTTGTTACTGTGACTTTTCAGTTGTTTTTGCGCCAACTCATTTCAAAATTTTTATTTTTTTTAAAACCACCTGAAATTTCGTTGCCCCCAGAAATTGTAAAATAAATATAAAGAACAAATGTTATAGCAATCAAATTAAATTCAACTTTATATTAAAGGGTTCCTGTTCTGCTCGCTCAGTTCCTTTAATTTTTTCTCTTTTCAGTTTCTCATTTAATATCATAATATTAATAATAATTAACAACACATACAATTACCTTCTATTTTAGCTAAATTAAACTTGATGGTTTGAATGTAGGATAGCAATTTCTTTTATTCACGGTTTTCATAAAACCCTTTTTATGCATTTTTTAAAAATGTATTTAACTGTAAAAAACATAAACATTATTTTGAATAAAAACAAAATTAAATAACTTAATAAACTGAGGCCTCCTGGACAAGTTCAATATTACCCTCTATAGTACAGAGGTTACCATAATATATTTTCCTAACTAGTATATTTGTTCTCAGTGTCTTATAGGCTTCCAAATGCAAATATATATTTGTACAGATGGATGTATGTATATAGATTGTGATGTTCTGGCCATTTGGTGTGTCCATCACACCAAAGTCCTGCCCTTATTTCATGGTTTGGACTTTTTTCTTGCTATGGACAAATTATCAGTGTAGAAACGCTGCTGCATTTATTGGACAATTTATCTGCTTGAACTGCAATATAAATCAACTTGGACTGATAATAACTAAGACCTGGTACAATCATGCAGCACCTGTGTTTCTTTTTGGTAAAAACAAGTTTAATATTTAAAATGTTTAATCCCTGATGCTACCGGGGTAACATTATTTGATTTACAAAAAAAAAAAAAGAGAAATTAGTGCTTGTTTGAATTAAAGTTACACTGCAAGTTAATTCTGCTGATACGCCCTAATTATGCAGTAAGACCACATGCAGTGACTGATACACACACGCGCGCACACACACAAAGACATCTGGTACATGAGAGTGATGATTAATAGGTTAATTAGAAATGCTTTTGTCAAATTCATTTTCTACATGAAAACTCGATCCACACATGACAGGATTCGCTGTGTGTGAGATTTAATTTCATAACAATCAGTGTGAGACTCCACCTTCTCGCCCGGTGGAGTTCAGTGTCATATTCTTTCTTGATGATCGGGCAGCACACACCTGCTTGTTAAAATGATAATAATAACAACAATAACAGAGTAAGTGCTGCTCTTCATTTCTGTGTAAAAGGGTGGCGCACATTTCCCTTATGTCACACTAATTGACTTTTAGTGAGGTCTACTGTTTTCTCCTGAGATCCTCCACCTGGCAAACTCTGGGAGAGGAGGTGAAGCTAAAATTTTGCAGAGGGACACGGTGAGTCGAACGCTGAATTTCAACGAGGTGTCAGAGCACTGACAAGAGCTGGAGACCCATCTGCTGCTACTGCTTTACATTTTTTTCCTTCAGAAGGAAAACAGCTTAATACTCCAGAGAGCAGCGTTCACGCCCCAGAATATTTAAAGAGTACAACGTTGAAATTTCTGATAAGTTTGTGAAGACTCTAAAGTGACAAAGCTCAAAATTTGTAGTATTTGGGACAAATTCTTAAGAAACTGACACTGATGATTAATATTTTCAAAAATATATTTTGGACAATTTCTGGGACCAGCTTTTAGCTTTAAATGTCTCTATAAAATAGTCTTTTGGAAACTTTATTTTCTAAATGTTGGAACCGTTTGATATAGGAATATATTGCAAAACAAACTTGAAAAATATTGCTATTTTATATTTTTAAATTTTTTTTTAATGTTTTTGAATATTGAATTATTATAGTTTGCCTACAACAGTACAATTCACAGTACGGGGTGGTGATAAGCCATTTCTCCAACCTTTTTTCCCTAGCACCAAAAAACATGCAATTATTGAAAATAGCATTCGCACAGAAATAAAGGAAAATTTAGGAAGAAAGGTGTTTGCTGCAGATTCATGTTTGTGGAGAAGAATAATCATCAAATTAAAAGGTGTGACCAAAGTGGCATCTATGCTCTTTTTCCTAAACATTCCTGGTACAGCTGTGAACATACTTGCTGTGGAGCCAGTGGCAGTTGTGTTGAAGGAGGATCCGACCGGTCGATAAAGTCGATAAGGCTGCGCCTGCCGTCGTCGCCCAAGACGTCTCTGCCCATGTCTGCTTCAGCTGTTGCAAACAGCGAGTGACGCCTGCGACGCCCTCATGACCCCTGCTGACCTGCCCAAGAGAGAGACAGAGAAAGTGGCACAATGTTATGTGGCACATCAAGGTCAAGGGTTCAAGGATGTCAGAAAAGACAGAAGTCAGGATTGTCAGCGACTCTAAGGTGTCTGAGTATTTGTCATAGTGTGTACCCCATCCTCTGTGCGTGTGTGTTAGACATAAATAATGGATGAGCAGAGTGAAGGCAGCGCTGCCAACATCGTAAAAAAAGAAGCATTAGGAATTCAGAAAGCGAGGAGAGCATTTCTCAGCCCAAGATTCAGCTCTAAATCCTCTCACAACTATTTTTCTTTTCCAGCAAATTCCTTTGTAGCCTCACAGCAGAACGACAAGGTCAGCTAGAGTCAACATATAAACAACAACAAAAAAAACTAAATAATATTTCCATCAGCAACAGGACGATACATGTACGGTTGATTAGAGAGTTTAATTTTCTCTCACCTAGCATTTTTGCAAAACTGCATTTAAATAATAAGAGAAATGTAATTGTCATTTCCAGGAATGAGCTAAAAGCCCCTGAAATTCACCTTTAAATTGAAAATATCGGCCAAAAAATATGTGTGGTAACCACATTTAACACAAAAATAAGCAAAAGAAAACCTCAATTTAGAGGAATATCTAAATATTTAGATAAATTAGCTTAACATAAGCCAAGTGTGAGTGAAAGACTAAATATAACTAAAAATATTTAGTAAAAAAAAAATAGCCAATCAAGTAAGCAAATATGGAAATAATACAATTAAGGCCAGAAAATATGTACAAGTTAGTGTAAAAATGTAATAAAATATCACAGTATCACAATATTTGCATATTGATGAAATTCAGCCCGGATGTAAAAAGAAAAAAAGGGGGGCTGGAGGGTAGGGGTTCCTAAGATGCTAAAACTAGCCAAATGAAAATGAATATGTAATAAAAGATAAAGAAATATGTTAGTTTCTCATCAGGCATCAGGAAAGAAATGTGACAAAAAAGATGATGCCGTGATAGGGATGTCCAACAGCTGATTATTATGAGGTCATGAAGATACTGCCCATCCCCATCCCCCATTTAATTAAATAATTAAAACTGTAGATAGATTTTAATCGAGTCAAGCAATGACGAACTCTGCCAGATTACCAGATCCTAGTTTATTCCAGAGCAATCTAACCCACAACCAGGCTCATTTCTGCTCCACACCTCCTCTAATCTCCTTCTCATTCACTTGATGCCAAAGCTTGGCTGCTGCCCTCCCAGCATGCCCTCTGTGACCTCCAATTCTGGTCCCATCTTTAAGGTCAGGTGAAATTCCAGGTTGTAACTAATAACAGCAGTGATACAGTTAGGTCTAAACCGCTTGTACAAACTATATATTGGCTAATGCTAAGTCATGTTAAGCCTTTCATTGTTAACATAGGTTCTTGTTTGAGTTGTTCTAGTCCTGTCAAACCACAGCTCATGGTTTAACTTAGTTGCCAACCTGTAATTGCTGTCAAAATAGTTGGATCATCACTAACTAGTTCCAGAAACTAAAGGCTTTTCCACTTTCTGATACTTTGTGGTGGTGACAAGGCCATGACTTTATAATAATAATTGATACTTTCCTCCGGTTTATTTAAATCCTCTACATAATTCACAATTACGGTGGCTCTAACATTGGTGTTCTCTGCGGAACACGCTGCTCAGCTCCCAACACTACTCCTTAAGCGGTGCTGCCGGCAGAATCCAATTTATCTGGATTATTTATCTGGAGTGTGGCCTGTATTTTGGTGGCCTCCATCCATGCAGTCACCGCTGTTGCCATTCAGTCGCTGCCCCTTCGCCCCCACTCTCCCTCACAGCCTCTTATCTCTGTCTAACTGCAGCCAGCACTTTTCTACAAGAGCATCCATGTGTGACGGGACAGATCTCTCTAAGCTTCCGCGCTACACTCTGGTCTTCACTGTTAAATGTCTGAAATAGAGAAACATGAGGGTAATTTAGTGTCAGTCCTGCAGCGATATCAGTGTCTCTCGCTCACATGCACACACAGTTTGTCTGAGGGCACTCAGGTTTTTATCAGAAAAGATGCTGAGTGGACAAAGTTGAGTGTCTGTGTGTCTGTGTGTGTGTGTGTGTGTGTGTGTGTGTGTGGAAAGTCCATTTCATGCTAATTTAAGACAGAAAATCATACAAAACTATCAAACAACCCCCCAAAAAACAATCTTTATTGACGTTGCTGAATTTCCATTTTTGAGATAATCTGACATAGAAAATTGTGTAGTTTGCCAAATTGAATAATTGAAGCACCCAAGGGAGAGCCTGAATCAACTTAATTAATATATTTTTCTTATATACAACCGGTGATTAAACAATTGCTTATTTATTAACCAACTATATTTGGTTACTGATGATCAACAGACAAAAATATACTTACACTATTTATTACAATTGGTGTTAGGCAGATATATTTTTAATTTATTGAAAGTGTGGGATTTTGTTTTTATTTTGCATGCAAGTGTATTTTTGTCTACGTGAGTTGTTACTGTTGTGTATTTTTAGTGTTTAAGACGTGTCTTACGTCTGTGTGTTTATCAAAATAAATTGAAAACTCAACCTTTCGAAACAAAGCTTTTTAAACATAAAATAATTGTGACTGTACAGTTTTGACTTAGTTTTAGAAAACATTTTGCAAGATTTTAATGGTGGAGAAATATGTCCATAATTACCTACATAAAATTTTCACATTTAGTTTTAGTTGATTTGTATTTGATTTACTCATTTTTGTACCTTATACAGACAGCAGTGAAGTTGTTCAGACCTTGTGTGTGTTTGTGTAGATGACAGGGAGTGGTTCGCTGGCTTTTCGGTTGCTGCAGAGCACAGCGACATTAAAAAATCTCCCTCAGGCATCGTTCTATGTTGCACCGCCCTTTTACTCCACCTTTATTACCGTGTTCCCTAGTAAATCAGCGGAATCCTTTCTCACAAACACAAAAAAAGAAACAGAGACACTGGAAAACTATCACGCTTGAATACTGATAACGCAATACAACTCTGGTTTCTTGCAAATGGTGAAATAACAATTATTTAAATATTCAATTATAACAAAGACCTCCATCCATTAAGTCACACACATGGACTAAGAATCACACTAAGGCAAATACATTCTTAATCAACCTCAGATGAAAAATTAATATTTTCAATTTACAGGTAGAAAATAAAAAATGCATTTGTTTAAACTGTCTCCTGAACTCACACTGGTTCTTATTTGACAATAACTGATATGTAGTAAAGCGCTATCAAATTAAATTATTGAATGCGTGAAAATTTTGATTGATTCTAGAAATATGATATAGAAAATAATGACATACCATCAGGGATAAAAAAAGCCCATTGAGTATTTTGCTTATTTTTAAATCTGCTCATAAATATTTGAGAGGACATCCAAAATAGGCAGAATTTTGAATAAAATATAAAAAATATGTAGATGGAGATGTTTATTTCCTGTTTTTCTCTGCTAATGATTTCAGGATGATTTATTTGCGTACCAGGCTGATCTTCATACATCTGATAAATTTGGCATCTCAAGTGTGTCTCATTCAAAACACATTTACAAAGTGAAAACTGAGTTTCAAGCCATTACTGTCTGAAAAATCCAAACTGATATATTTTTATATATATCATCGCAGTCATTCAGTCATGTACAGGCACAAATCATCTCTGCAAACCCACAGTGGGGTCTTTGGGCTGCAGTCTCACGCACAATTATGCATGATGGTGAGCTAATGACAAAATGTCTGTATCCGTGTGAAGTTCACACACAAAATAATGCACATTTTATCCTTTTCTTCTGATAAGACTGACTATTTCCTGGGTCTACAGTTGACCCTTAAAAAAGCAGGAGTAGCAAGGATAGGCTTTTGTTGTAGGTATCACAAAAGTAGAACAATTAAGCAGAAACAACAGGATCTAGTGTAAGTTGTCAAGCAAAGAGTAAAACCAGGCACAAAAACAAGTAATGAGCTGCTTCATTATTATCTTATCCCCAATAAAAAGGATTTCAACGTTTTACTTAACTGAGTAGCTAATCTTCCATTTTCTAGCCATATTTGCTAATTGCAAAGCAGGAGAAGCACTGATAGGGGAGCCGTGTAATTGCAGCAGAGAACGATTAGAGCCACAGACTCTGTAATGATATCACTCTTGTACGCTGCTCGCCTCAAATTCGGGGTGACAGAGGCAGCAAGAGTTCAGTGGGAAGTGCTTTGAAATAGCTAGTGGAGAATTTAAACAAATAAAAAAATATTTAACTGCATAAATGTTAGACATAAACAGACAAAAAAGAGAGTCTAATTGCTGCTGCTTGCTCTGCCTTCAGGTCACATCAGGCTGAGGTAGTGTGGAGTGACGACGGCATTAATGGCAGGCAGCTTTAATAAATTAAATTCACAGCAGAGCGTGGAGGTAATCCATTACCTGTCCCACTGGAGAGCTTCCAGGGAATATCAATCTGAGCAATTAGGGGAGAAACAATAAAGACGGAAACTAACATGCAAGACCAGCAGTTTTCGTCAGCAGGAGGAAAAAGAGAGACACAGACAGGGGAGGAAGAAGTCGACCAAGTCCAGCAGAGTCATTAAAAGTCAATTTGCAGAAAACACCTGCAGAACAAAACAGAAGAAAGAGGAAAACCGCGCAGCGGCAAGCCTGTTATTGTACGATTTGGGATAATTATCCTCCTAACGAGGCACAAAAGCAATGGCAACAAGGGAGATAGTCCCTCAGTAAAAACGGCAAAAATGAAGGAGAGGAGACAGTTTGAAAAGTGGAAACATTACACACAGCAGAGACAGTGACACAAATTAAAATTACATCAACAACAGACCAGGATGAAGTGCAGGACCTACCTGCCCTGCAGATCTGCCCCCCATCCTCACTGCTGCTGCTGCTGCTACTTGACCGTTTAGTTTCCATTTGCACAAGAGAGACGCAACTGGCCAGAGAAGGAGGCTGGAGTCGCCTCCAAGCTCACTCCTTCTCGGCAGCTGCCTGCTGCCTCTTGTATGCCCGCTCAACAAACTGAGGCTGCAGAGTGGTGAGAGGGGAGTGTAAAGAGAGAGGAAGAGGGAGATAGAGTGGGTGTCACACAGAGAGGGGGAGCAAGAGAAAGAAGGTGAAAGAAAGAAAGGGGGAGAGGGAGGGAGAGAGTAAGACAGATAGTCAGTGAGAGAGAGAGAGAGCAGCGAGAGAAAGAGAGAGTGAGAGAGAGAAAAAGAGAGAGCGAGAGACAAAAAGGAGGGAGAGGGAGAGAGAGAGAGAAGAGAGAGAGAGAGAGAGAGAGCCCCCCCCCCAGCCATAAAGCCAGCCAGCCTTCAGCCTTAGAGACAGCACCAAGTCAACAGCTGGCCACAATGTGATGTCAGAGCCTCCGCAGCCAGTCAGAGCATCTGAGGCCAGCTGACTAAACTCAAGTCCGAAGCTAAATGGGACTCTTCATTAGCTACTCTGCTTCAGGATAGAGTTGGGGTGAGAAAGAAAAGAGTATAGGGCAGGCACAGACTTGGTTTGGATCGATGGAAAAGAGTGTGAGGTGATATGAGTAGAGGGCGTCAGGAAAAAGGAAAAGTGGGTAAATGAAAAAAAAGACAAACATAGGAAAAAGGGATGAAAAAGCAGAGGAAGGGAGAAACAAGTCAGCCAGGTAAGCTGCACAAGCTGAGCAGGTGGAGAGTCGACGGGGAGGTGGTGGCTGCTGAGAGGCCGAGCTGTTCACTGGGCCGTCTTCCCGTTAAAGCTGGCACCCTTCTCCTTCTACGGCTAATCCCTACTGATTTACTGAGAAACACCGGCCGTCACTGCGTCACTAACACTGAGCCAAAATCAGAAAATGTGCATGAGATACTGGTCATGTATGATTATCTTCAGAATCGAGAAGAGAAAATTTCTTCAAGCGCAGTTCAGGAACATCATACTGAATCCCAACAAACAAAGAGTCTCCTCAGCTCAGACTCTCTGAAACTTCCACAATGACCTTGTTAATAATGTGGCTGTTTAATAAAATCTACAACAGATTATGTCTACAAGATCTTGTAAATATGCAGTATTATTTTACTGCTTTTACCTGCAGTAGCACATCCCTTTCCAAAAAAGTACTGTAGTTTAAGAAATCCCTTTCAAAAGTGTAGCAAAAATGGTATTGAGTCAATGTTACCTCTATCAGGGAGTGCAAATATGACATTTTTCAGTTGGCAGTTGCTAAGTAGCACCTGATTATTGTGGTACAAAAAAATGAAATAAAAAAAAAATCACATAATCTCTGTTATCCCTAACACCAAGACTATATTCACATCTTCATCCGGCCATAATCAAAACTTCACTTAAACTAGCAGTGAAAAATAAAATATGACAATAAGTTGTTTAGTGAATATGAGCAACTTAACACAGCACACAAGTGCTGATCCACTGCTGCTTTCACCCATGAGATTGTGTGTGCCATTTTGGGACCTAACCATATGAAATTCTTTATTTTGATCTAATTCAGTGACAGTAACTACACAAATGAGACAGCAGGGGGCACGTTGGAAATTTCATGCCGCCACTTATGGAAGAAACACAACATTTGCTCAAAATGTGGTAGGAATCAAGTCGTTTTGATTGTATGAAACTCTAGAGAGTTTTACTCATAAAAAAATGTAGTAAATTTAGTAAATTAAAATATCTGTATTGCTCTCCAATATAGACTTGTGGTGTTTGCTGCTGTTGCCATATGAGGCCACCTGCTTGCACCCAGTTATTGTGGGAGATCAAAATTATTGCAATTTCATGTCATGTTGTTAATGTTTGTTTTCCACTAAAACATACTCAGAGAATTCTTAGTATAAAGGAACAGGTTATAAAATTTGTTTGCTTTCATTATCAATTCCTACCATTTTATTGTTGAACATATAGAAAGTTACAACCAAGTCCAAGTACAGACAGCCAATATATTTTGTCACACTTTAATAGCCAATACAGTGGGCAAAAAAAGTTCCTGCTGTCACTTAGCAACCGACACCAGTCTTTGAGAACCAATGCAATCCAAACCTGCATTATAATTGTACCTCTGGTTAAGCCAGGTCTCTGAAGAATTTATTATTGCTCTGCGTTAATCCCACGAAAAGGTCACCAATTGAACAAACAGTTTATGGATCGAAGGATGAATTATTTAATGGCACCAAGCAAATATTACAAAAAATAAAGATTTTACCTTCTAGGGAGATGCTAAAAATGTCAACTAGGGAAAAAATTGATAATATTGTGAATACCACTTGATAAACAGTAATTAACACAAAGGGAAGGTAGAATATATGCATAACCTGAATAAGAAGGAAGGGAAATAATAATGCTTGTTTAATATTGCGTGTACTTTTTTTTTAGGTGTAATGATGTTTACTTAAGTGACTTCAAACTACTGTCTATTTCACAACAAGTCTCAAGTGATTCATTTTAGGCAGCACAGAAACTGGTGGTAGAACTCTTAGGGCAGGACCAGAAACTGTGGAATCCAACAGCAAAAACTAGTAACATGCACTAAAGACAGTGCAGGAAACCATATGCATTCCCAAAGCAAGTATCTGGGTTGTGAGGTACTGGGCACAGTAACACCTTGATATGCCTTTGACATTCCCAGAGTGTTAAATGGGTACGGCACAGTAACAGGACCGTTATATATTTCTATCATAAAAATAAGTACCACAGAGGGGAAAGCGACCGAAAAGATGGGCTTCTCAGGCACAGGAGGTAACACCATGACACAAAGACAGTACAAGGAACCTATGTTGTAGCAGTACAATCCAAGTCAAGTCAATTTGAACTTGACCAAAAATGACTTGTATCGATACTTCTTATCGAAAGGTATTGACTTAAACACAGTACGTACAATTAATTCTTAAGTAATCTGGTATCAAAACCCAGACCCCGGGATTTAAAACTTGAACACTGATCAGTTTGTTAATGTCTGACTCCCATTACTGGTCATTTAACTCAGGTCACGTTAATTGTTTCCTTGTTCGTACTTGACAATGACTCTTAACCTTGGAGACTGTCTTAACTGACTTAACTCGAGTTTTCTTTGGTAACTGAATCTCCAAGACCGGCATATTACTACTGAATCAACTCAGAAATTTTTGTTGACTTGTTTTACTAAAAGTAAGTAAGTAAGTTTTAGAATATGATATATTAAATTACAATATAATAACTAAACATCGTTATTCGGCATGCTTAATATCATTGTCCATCAGCAGCTTCATACATTACCAGTCCAAGAATAATTAAAGGCGAATTAGAAGGAAGTTAAGGCTTATTTAATTTGATTTTTTTTTTGGTTCCTAACTGTAAATATTTGCCTTTTTCCTTTCACGACATACTTAAACCCATTGCTAGTGTGGCCAATTTAATTGCTTCCTTATCGCATACACAGCAAATAAATATTGCAGACAATATGTAGCACACCAGTCTTACAAGTTATACCTTTGACTACAGTTCGGCTGAAAATACAAATAAATAAAAAAGCATCGATATATATATTTTTAGCCCGTTTTATAGACGTGCTAACTGTGCACACTAGACATAGCCATGGACTAGCGGGCCTTGGTGTGAGTAAATTATGCTTTTTAACTATATATTTCAGTGGTTTCTGTTTTAGTTTTTGTTGTCACTTTAGTATGTAAGCTAACAACCTGGATACGCTGTTTGGTGTTTATTCAAGCCGAAAAGGAGGGTGACATGTGCGGTACGGGGCTAATCTGAAGCTAATGCTAAGCTAAAAAAAACCGGCGGCTGAGCCGTTGTGACATGGGAGAACAGCGGCATGTTTGCGGCTGACACGGTCACAGCTGCACGGTGAACCCTGGAGAGGAAGGAGGCTGCAGGAGTTTGATGATGTGGGCTCTTACCTCTGTGGTTTAACAGCTGTTGTCTTTGCCGAAGCTACTTCGAAGAGGACAAGGAGAAGGAGCTGGAGGTGAAGGAAAGAGGAGGAGAAGAGGTAACGGAGACTAGAAAGCTGAGGGAGGGAGATAGAGGGGTAGTGCGTCACTTTCTTCAGTACCGCCACATGAAGCACGAGCAGAGTTCAAAAATATTAAATTTTAAAATGATTATGTATGCATTTACCGCACGTACAAACCAACTGGCCAGTTGTTACTCAACTTGTAGGTGGCAGCATATTTGGTGGACCATCCAAAGAGAAAAATGTATACAATGTATTTGCCAAACAGTATTTTTCCAGCCCGTAGCGTTATTGTCCTAAGTCAATAAAGAAAGTTGTCTGTTGTCTTGTTAACCTCCTTGGACGACAAGACAACATAACCCGTTTAATAACATGACTGTTTTGTGGAAACTGAAAAAATATATATTTATATTTACCTTTGTATTCCAGGTCTTGACAGCCAGGTTCAAATACACCTGATGGAGCAACCCATAGTGAAACATTTTCCCCATGCCATTTTAACATTGTTGTAATAGGAATATTTTTTTTAAATCTACTATTTTATTTTTGCATAGTTATCGCATGTGTTCCAAAAATACTTTCTACTTAAGTTACGAGTATATGAATAAAGGGGTAAATCTGTATTCCTGCTCAAGTACAGAATATCACTACCATATACACCTCTGCCAGAATTTGGCCAAAAAATATAGACTGAAACTTCTGGGGAGGTCTGTTGATGTAAATGAAGCGCACCCACACTTTGTGGCCACGCCACGTCCTGTCGCGGCAGTTTACAAACTTCCTAAAGCGATTAATTTGCTGCGTCACAGGGTAGGGAATCTCGGTCATATTTTTTTAAGTGTTTACTCTTTAATACAAGCTACTGTTGTTATTAGAGCCTATATACGACCAAAACACACATTGGATATTAGCAGACGCAAGCTAACACAGCTGTCGTACATACGCATGCAGTTTTCGTTAACAGACAATTGTTGTGAGCTAACGCTATACAGTGTAATATATTTATAACATATCTGATTGGTATAAATTAAAGTAGCAGGCTACAGTGAGTTGATAACGGTTGACTACTACGGAGCGTAACTGTTCACTGCGTTAGTTCCGTGCTTCGGTTGGCAGCTGTACTACCTAGCTAATAAAGTAGCGTTAAAGGTAGCAGGAAGACTTTATGGTAATTGAATGTGTAAGTAATAGTTTAAATAAAATAATGCGGCTTGCGTTCTTCATCGTTAGCAATTTGTTGAACAACACACTGCTAAGCTAGCGTGATAAAAACGAGTACTATCCCCTGGCACATAAAAACTTTAATATTTCATAGGTGCCCTAGCACCTATAATCATTACAAAAAATAATCGTATTAAAACAACTGAAGAAAAAATGTGTTTATCGGAACTGTTTGAATCATTAGGGTATTTTTGCAACCCTTTAGTGTACTTCTAATGGTGTACTGTTTAAGCTGTTATTGGCAAATTTTTGCCAAGATTTAACTTTTAGAGCTTTGAGCAATCCTGTCAGGTAACTTTAAATGAGGTAGTACAATATTATTTGTAAATATTATTTAAATGAGGTAGTATAATGTTATTTGGCCCTTCTTTAACATCTCTCCAATTTGTTTTAAGGTTGCAGTTATATAATCTATAATTCTACAACATTTTTAACTCACTAGAGTAATTTTTTTTTTAGAATTGGAACATGAATGCTAAAAATGGATCAGAGTGACCTGAAGAACTCCGACTGTGACACAACATGGTCACAACAACTCTCCACCCTCCCTCACAAACTCCTGCAGCGCCTGATGCCTTTCCAAAAAGAGGGTGTTGAGTTTGCTTTATCTAGGAATGGACGGTAAATTCAGATGTTCTAACTTTTAAACAATTTGATTTTTGATCTTACATAATGTTTTTAAAAAATATCAGTATATTATTGTAGCACATTAATTAGTAATGCATTTAACTACATTACTAAAAGGACTTTTTGAACACTTGTTCTTATGTTTTCTACTACATTTATGCTCTTTTTGTGTTGCCTCTATAACTGGAAAGAAAAGACGTAAGAGGATGGTTGCCCATTTTATGATTTATATTTTCTCCTCACTTCCCTTTGGTACGATTACTCCTATTACTACTGCAAATACTGTTGAGACTATGAATCTTGTGAAAAGTTGAAAAATACCAATGAAACTCTTTTATGCAGGTAGAAAGAAGAATGTATGTGAAGCTTTTTCAAATATAGAAGGTCACACGACATACTCCAATTTGTATCCTTGACAGAAATTACCAGTTCAGTGGTGCTGTGACAGTGGCGGTGCATCACCTTTAAGTCTGTAACTGTTTGACTGCGGAGAGCATTAACTCGTAGACCCTAGGCCAGGTCTTGCCTGTTTCCTTCTCTGCCTGATCAATGTGCGTTCTGGTTCTAGGGAAGGTCAACAGAGGGGCTAGACAATTTTATTGGTGCTGCAGAGCAACTTTATTGATTAGGAAAGGCAGGGAGGCACTGCTTTGTTACACATACAGGTCAGGAGTCAATTGGTTGTGGGTTACATTGAGTGGATAGAAGGTCCTTCAGTCGATCTGTGTCAGTGTGACAGTGAGAGCAGAGTTTCTCTGGAGCTGATCAGCTGATGCCAAATTGTGTATTAACATTTTTTTTTTTTTTTAATTATGTTTAAGTGTTAATTTTATTGAAATCTGATTCACTCAAGTGGGACCTGAGATGTAAATGTTGTATTTTATATTAAGTTAAATGATTTTAGTTAATTTCAAATGTGATAAGTTTAGTAGGGAACAAATACTAAAATAAGTATTAAACATAATATTAGTTTCATTAAAGACATAAATTGATGTTTGTATTTTTTTTATATAAAGGTGGGAGTTTTTTTATTCTTGTAGATCTTGTGGTATTCTTTTTTTATGCCAGAACATCAAGAGTACCGAGGCACATCATGCAAATGTTGTTGCTGCACTGATGGAGACCATTGTATCCGTTTGAGTGGGTGAATTTTATGGAGTCAGACGTGGGAAAATGTGAGGCAGTTGTTGTGCAGTATGACAATAAAAACCCCTGAGATGTGGTTAATGGTGTTGTTTGGAAAGTTTGGCTGACATCTGTATAAATACTGTCATCTACAAGTTTTAACTTCACTGTATCTTATAGACATGCTATAGTAACTGTTCTGTCTTTTCTAGTTGGAAACTGGAGTTGTTGAGCAAACTCACTCCATCCCATGTATGTTTGAGGGGGAAATCCATCAGACCTGAATGCTCTTTTTTGTTTGAAAAAGTATATATTGCTGTTTTGTCAAGCCCCCAGACCTTCTTAATAGACCTGTGTCTGGTACAGGAACTGTTGCGGGTCTGAGAAACTGCAGCAATATTTCATATTTATTTTTTGGTGTTTTTGCAGACATCATATTTCTGCGTATTTCATATTTATTTTCAAATCATATCTTATGATGTCAAAAATTACTCATCAACTCAGTTGATTAGACTTTATTGTCAGATAAGTCCATGTGAAAGGTTCTGCTGTTAATGTCCTAGTCCTTACTGCTGCACTTTGTTCCTACTCCTGGTGCTGCCCTTAATACCTGGTAAAACTGCCTCTAGTTTCTAGTAAAAAAAACACATTGTTACCAGGACTAGTTTTTGTAATAGTTCTCATGGGGGAAATACATGTTTCCTGTTACTGGTCCTGAGGCCTAGTAGCTTGGACTCTTTTCTGAGTTGGATACAAATCGTCTATGGCAACATTCCTAGTACTTGGTATCATTTGTGTCTGTGGAAATGAAACAGTCCTGGTATTGTCTCCATTATCTGACTCTATTTTGTATTTGTACTGTGCCAAGTACCTTTACAGAACTACAAAACTTTTTAATCAAACACAACTCATTTAGGTGGGCGTGTGTCACCTGTGCTGAAAAGGAGTGATTAACTCTAACATGGTGAACATTGACTAACGGATATAAATCTGATAAGGTACCTCATCCTCTGGTGCTGTATTTCAAGCAAAGCTAGAGAAAATAGAGTATAAAGACCTTTTCCACAGGAAGCAAGGACAGAAAAAAATCTTCTAAGTGAAACAGTAGCAGTAGATTGACCCACATAGTGTGGGCTGAAACTTTTCCTTTTAAAGTCCCACGCACTGTTTAAACATCTTCTACCAGCAGGAAGGAAAAAAAAAACCCTTCAGCCCAGAGCCCCTCTTGCTGAAGGCCACTTTGTTTTGATCTCTTAACACAATGAGAGCATCATACTGACTGCTCTTTGAATCCACTGCCCTGTCTGAGGTCCACAGCTGAGCACCAGGTTCAGTCCAGATACCAAATCCTGAGCAGGGAAATTGAGGCAAGGCATGGTTGCAGCCATAAAATCCCAGGCAGGTAGTCCTGCTTTGTTTTTGACATTTGAGGGCTTGTGGGTTTGGTAGATAACATTAAAGAAAATGTGTTGATGAGGAGGTGTGGGGGAGTTTGGGTTTAAGGCGCCGTCAGTGGGGCATCAGGGCCACAGTATCCTCACAGTCTCAAAGCGTCAGGAAGACGCTTAGGTTATTTAAAGGAGGATGATTAATGTGGGGAGAAATGGCAGAGCACCTGCCCCAGCAGCACTGCCTCTAACCAGTGTGTGTGTGTGTGTGTGTGTGTGTGGGTGTGTGTGCATTAGTAGGTGTGCACACACACACACCGTCTATATATAACATATATATGGTGTTGCATTTGTATGTGCGAGGAAACGTTTGTTCAAGTTTCTGTGTGTATATTGTATGGGTTTTTTTAGTGCATTTTCACACACATATGCCTGTGTGCGTGTGTGCATGTGCGCATGCACATGTACATGTGTGCACATTGCGCTGACTGCGTCTGGTGTGCTGGCAATTAGAAAAACCACCAGTGGCAAGGTGCACATTAATCATTTTCCTCAGCTGAAAGAGAGAAATAGGGTGGAGATGGGAGGAGGGGGAGGAAGAATAATGAGGGGGAAAGGTGTCTGAGGTATTCAGCGCTGCACTCCTTTGCTCGCTCTGACATCGTGTTGGAAGCATTTGTGAATAAGCAAGGTCATGCCAGTGGGCTTGAAGCCACTGGGCAGAAACTCAGGAGCCAAAGCAGCAACTCCCAGTGTTCCTGTGTATAAGGGCAATTCTATGTTTGCTACCAGACATGGCCACACCACATCGGCAGCTGCTTTCATTATTGTTTGGTTGGGCAAGAAAGGATTGTTTTTTCACAGCTTTCCATCCTCCATCCCTGTTTGATAGCATTTTTAAAAGAAACCAGGAGTTTGTAAACTGCTCACCGTCCCATACTAAAGTCCATAGAGAATGTCAGCAATTTTACCTGAGAGGGATACAGAAAAGGCTGTTTTGCTATTGCTATATATATATAATCTGTCCATTGAGCATTAAAATAAAAAAACTTTTTATGTCATGAGTATTTTTTACAGTTCTCAAATTTTCAGTGGTACCTGAATGCCCCTCGTATTTCCTATGGTACATGAACAACCCTCATTACAGACACGCCAACAAGTGGACACGTAATAAAAACATAAATATGTTTTTAGGGCTATCTGGGTTTAGGTGGTTGTGAAGCCTTTGCGATGTAACGAACTGCACTTTATTGAGTGTTAACTGTTGGGATGAAAGCTCTGTATTTTGAGGTGCAGTTTTTTTCCCAGCTGGGAAAACTGGGTCCTGTGGTTATGTTTTAGGTGGGCATGCTAGTTGGTTGTTTTGCCTTTTTTTGTTGCCACCACCTTCGAACAAATTCATCACACTGGCTCATCGGTGTTGCTGCAGTGTGTGTGTATTGTTGTGGCCCCGCCACCCCTAAAGCAAGTGGATGACTGACAGGAGGGTTCACTCTGCTCATCAGAAAGTTTACTATGATTTAATGCAGAATACTCCCCTCTGTCTTTGGGCAATGGCTAAACCTAAACACTCTTCTGTGGCTTCTACCATGTTGAAAAATGATTTTCATGAACTTGAAATTCTAAATGTATAATATATTAGATAGATACGTATAATATATTAGATAGATATTATATTATATGTGTCCTTAGAGATCCCTGAGAGTGATCTCTTAGATGGCACGTTGTTTTTGAACCTGTTTCCAACTGTGTTTCAATACTTCATGGTATCACATGAAAGTGAACCCTAGCTTAACAGTCTTTTTATAGGGAACAGGATTAGTTTTTTTTTCTTGTCTCATTTTATTTTCTCTGCTTTTGTTTTGCAGGTGTATGATCGCTGATGAGGTAAAAACACCCACTGCTGCCTCAGGAAATCTGTTTTCTGAAACAAAGAAAAAGAACTAGAGCCTGTATGCCTTCCTTCTAGATTAATTTGTCACCACTGTGCCTCGCTCCCACGTGCTTAATCTGTTTTGACACAAGAATCATTCTGTGGCCTTATTACTCTTGGGCCTTGCATCAGCTCGGCCGTCATATGCAATTTATCGCAGTGTCTGTGTGCCATTGACTTGTTTTTCTCTCCAACCATTGCCACCAAATCCGCTGACGTGTGTTGATTCGGTGGGTCCAGATGGGTCTTGGTAAGACTGTGCAGGCCATTGCGGTGGCATGTGCTTTCAGACAGGAGTGGCCCCTCCTGGTGGTGGTGCCGTCGTCCCTTAAATATCCCTGGATAGAAGAGCTTGAGCGGTGGATTCCTGAGCTGCAGCCTGGAGACATCAATCTAGTGGAGAACAAGAGTCACATCACGTAAGTTCTATCAACAATGTACACCACTGACTGGCTGTAATGTTTAACAGAAAGCTATGATGATGATATGATGAACTGGCCACACATTATATGTATTTTTTTTACTCTTCTGGGGCTGACCTTGGACCACACTCGCAAAACTCGCTCTCTTTATGCAAAATAACTAATTGTTGTCTTACAAAGGTCACTAATCCTAGATAGAAAAGGAGTGTTCTGGAAGTGTTGCAGACACTGTATATCTAAAAAAGGTATATCATTCTATTTCATGTCAATGCACAGTGCAGACAAATGTGAACTACTAACATGACCAGAGTAAGTCCTTATAACCAGCAGCAGTAAATATTAAGCTTGAAAAACACTCACATGCTCAGTTGAGCAGCACTGAGGAAGTAAAACATACACACAGAAAACTTGTGGCTGACAAATTAATCTGTGAGTGTCCCTCGGTCTCCATAGCCAGCTGGGGGAAGACGTGTGACAGCACTGACAGACAAATCATGTCAACGCCACTGCTGAAATATTGTACACTATGAAAAAAACAGATTGCAGGAAGTGGGAAAATGCTGTCGTAGAAAAAAGTCTCTGACTTTTAGCAGCTGTTTGTATTGCAGTGTGTGTGTGTGTGTCTGTGCTATTTTTCTGATTATCTCTTCAACTTTTACCTATTTCTTAGAGTTTTTATTTTTGAATGAAAGAAAGTTTCTGTATTTGTTACTCAGGAGGAAGGAAGTATAGGGAAAAAAAACTCACATCGCATCACAGATAAGGCGCAAATAGGTTGTGAAAGCCTTGTGGGGAAAAGGTCTCCTTGAACTGGATGTGTTAATGACTGAAGAAGGAGTCTGAAGGAATATATGCAGCTCCTCCTCACACTGTTTGGGTTTACTCCTTATGTAGAGCAGGAGCAGCCTCTGCTTGTGTGTGTGTGTTTGTGTGAGAGAGAGAAGTCGACAGATGCTGGGAATGTTTTGTGATTTCTCACAGATCCTTATTGAGGTTCATGCTGCTGAATGTCACTTCTGTGTTTGTTTGTTTATCTGTGTGTTCGTGCTGCTGCTGCTGCTGCTGCTGCTGAAAAAAACCTGGGAAATTCAGGCCAAGAATAGATTTGTTATGTGATGGGCTGTGAATATTATTTAATTATTTTTCAAATCATAGTTGAATATTTCATTAAATTACAAAAGCATTGTTTTTGCAAAGGATTTAGCAAATTAGTTTCTCTTGTGTGTGGCAAAAGTATCTAAATTTCCCAATATAATTAGTTTACATGAAAAAATTCTCTCCAGTCTACCTTCTCATGTTTCCATCCAACATTTAGTACCAGAGCACTAAGTATTTTTCTTATAACAATCAAATTAATGTGTGTGTTCCCTTCCTGGCATTAGGGACAGTACCAGGAACTTTTATTTTTCACACGGACTAATTCTACGATTTCATGACCTTTCAGAAATTTGTTGCATTTTACAACTAAGATCTAATAATAGGATAAACTATGAACTGTACCAGGGACTCTCTGCACATGCAGCACAGTAAAGTACATGAAATAGGGATAGAAACAAAAAACAATATCTGTGTAAAGTAAAAGCCGCTAAACTAAAGGAAACCATCTGGGTTCAGCTCACAGTCTTCTGATTGGTGAGCCATTGCTGTGATTTATGTATAAAATAATGTTTATATTGTTCAAAATGTATTAAATTGTGTGTGTGTGTTTGTGTGTTCCCAGGGGGATCAACAGCAGTAAAGTGACTGTTTTAGGTTACGGGCTACTTGCCTCTGACTCCAGTTCCCTGGTGGAAGCTCTCACTAGACAGCATTTTGGTGTGATTATTGTGGATGAGTCTCATTATCTGAAGTCCAGGAATGCAGTCAGAACTAAGATTCTGGTTCCTCTGCTTCAAAGCACCAAACGCGCCATCTTGCTTACTGGAACGCCAGCGCTGGGTCGACCTGAGGAGGTATTGATTTAGTAAATGTACCAGTATTATCCTAATTAAGCAACCAAAATAAGTCATACTTATTTGTTATTAAGAGTCTATGTGAAAGAAGAATTGTATGAGAATATAACGGTTGATTTTCTTTTTTTATTTATTTAGACATTTTGAAAATGACTGTGATAAATTCTCACAGAGTTGATACTGTTGGAACAGGAGTTTGAAAAATCACCACAAAATTTAAAGTGGCGACCTTCAGTTCGGGGTCAAGAATGGCTCCAAAAGATTTATTACCTGATACTGACCTGATGGTCATGTCTACCACTTTGATTCACCGAGGACAAAGACTGTTTCTGGGCTGACTGACCTAATGGTGGCTGTGGGGCAATTTATCTAAGCCTGTGGCAAACAAACCCATACCTGAAGTTTTTGTTTTGGAAGTGGGCAGGTTTATTTTGAAGTGTTTGAACATGTTTACGCCCTTACATGTGACTGTGTGTCACAAAAATATCACAATTACAGCTCACATGTAGTATGTTGTTTAGTTTTTACCGGTAAAATAGGTAAATCATTAGGCACTTAAGCTTCAGCTCTAGCTTTACAGATTCATCTCCATGGTAACTTTCTCCAGATCAGATGATCTCACACCCACATCCAAAAAGCCAATTAACTCTCCCTGCCATCACTGATCCTCAAGGATCCCACAGACTTATTTCAATAACCTTTGTTTCAAAAACTTCATTTACAAAGGCCGGTGTGGAGACATGGTGCACGGCAATAAATGAAAGGAGTAATAAAAAGGAGCACACAAGGGGAATGTATTGAATTTAGAGACAATAAGAGGGGTCTGTTCACAGGACAGCAGCGGCAGCAGCAGCCTCTACATAATGATTTATTATATCATTCTAATTTATATTACATATGGTAAACATATTCCATCACTACAGCTGCAGCAGAGGAGGACCAATAGACAAAATATTTGCACAGTTGCAGTGAAAAACAATAGCTTATCAATAACCTGGGTGTCAACGCTATCTTAATGATGTAACTTCATCCTTTTGTACAGCAGCTTTAAAAGATCAAGATAATTTACAGAACATTAGCTACTATAAATCTGTGTGTGTTTTGTGTCTACAGTGCAGTCACTGCAATTTGTGTTCAGAGAACAGGAACAAACACAAATATAAACACACACAACAAGTCCACTTGTTATTCTCTCTGCAAAGAATGAAAATCATTACTTCTGCACAGCTTTTGTTTTTTACAAAGAAGATAATTTAAAGGGCTCTTTGTGTTGCTTACCGCCATAAGGTCCACAGGTGAAAAGTAGTAATTTTACAAAACTAATACCTGAAATATATTCCAGACGTAAACACTCCTTGTCAAAACACATAGCATATGCGATTGTACTGTATTCTTTTTTACGTAAATAGAATAGTCATATGCTATGGCCTGTTAGATGTTACACAGTTGATGAAGCATAAATCTGTTGTCTTTTCTCCTCCATAAAAACATAATTTTAAAATGATAAAATCACACTTAATGCTGATAGTGTGGTGTCAAGATTACACTTGTCTGATGACAGGCTTTGTGTTGCCAGTGTTTAAAGTGTCAACGTGCCACAGGACACGTCGTTGATGCTGCTGTGAAGAAAACTTAATTATTACCTAGACCCCATCATGATAATTAACTGCTGAAACTCAGCCGCTCATTAATTTTGATATTAGCTGCCGTTACAAGAAATTTTTAGACACTTTTTTTGCTGTTCTGCCTTCTCTTGCAATTGTGGTAATGATGGAGAGCTTAGTTTTTTTTTTTTTAAGGATATCTTCCTCTCTATCGCTGCCACCATAATCTGAGAGTGAATATAACATTTTATCATGTGCGCCACAAACCTGATAAGGCCTGTCTCCGCCTGTGTGCCAGTCTGCTCATCGCCATCATTACTCACCACCACTGACACAGTGTTAGCACACGGCTCAGGGCACGTCGCACTCTTCCTTATGTGCCCCCATTCCACCCACCTTTTATATCAACAGTGTGAGGGCTGCAAATGCAAAGCTGCCGCTGAACAGGTGATGAATTTGGAATATTCAGTCTCTTTCTATCTCTCGCTCTCTGGCTTGGTGTCCATATGGAGACCAACTTGTGATTACTCATCATTACGGCAGAAATGGCTGCAAATACTGGAAATTGACATGGATTAAGTAGTGTTCCTATTTCAGCTGTGAAAACTGGTGACAGAAACAGGGAGCTCACCATTTTTACTCTTTATTTGGAAGTTTTATGGAAATTGAGTTTAGCAACCATGAAGAAACTAATCAAACTAATCTCTACAGTTGTACTGGAGGATAGGATATAAATTAGGTCTAGAATTTGGCAGGTACTGAAAAGTCTCCAGCAACGTCTTTTAAGATAATAAACGATAACTTTATTTGTTCGTTTTCTGACGCTCAATTGTTCCCAAGGCACCAATTCTGCCATTAGATGAATTGGGATAAACCTTAGATGTAACAGTATATCCAATGTAATACAAGGCTGTATGTCAAGGCAAACCATCATTTACATTCACATTTGTTCCTAAGGTCCTATTGAGAGTGAACACAGTTATAACTAATTCTTCATGTTGTGCTAGTACCCAACTACCTAGAGAAAACCCATGAGCAACTTCATGTGGGACCATCACTTACCACTGGGAATCAAACCACTGATCTACTTGCTAATAAGCTAATGTGACCCAGATGACTTTATTGTCATTGTGCAATAATACATCACAATTTCAACCATGTAGAATATTTTATTTTAAAACATCATATTGCATGTCAGACATATAATTAGAAATGAGCCATGTTAAGCTTTAGGTAGCCAAAATCTGACGTGAATTATATAGCAAATGAGCAAATGAGATTTTGAAAGAATAAAACTGTTTTTGCTTTATTGTTAAATTAATTCTCAAATCAGTTTTTTGGTTACCTCCGACTTTGCTAATTGGCAGCAACACACACTACCCACACAGCTATGTGACACAGGACTGGTAAAGTAGGCAAAGGACGACAGGACCTTGAATAAATTGGCCGGTAGATGCTCTGCCTGACAGCAGAGTAATCCGTGAGCACAGGTGAGCTCTGAGATTCAAGCCAAAAAAAGCATCACTGAGTGATAGTGTGCTCCACAGCTTTCACAAAGCAAGGGTTGAAGAGTCAGGGGAAACAATAAGACGCTGTCTTCATGATGAACTGCAAAGTCTACCTGTTTTGTCAAGGAGGTTTTTGTTTTTCAAAAGTAATTTGATTTGTACATAAATATATATATATTTTTAAAATGGCATGTTTTTCTTTGGACAAAGGCGTTGCATTGAATAAATTTCACTGAATCTGGATTTTGTTAAAGCAAACTCCCCTGTGTGAGTGAATCACAGTTGTTGAGTCTACTCCCACACACACGCACGCACTTCATCCTGTTATTGTTTAATTCTAAGAAATGTCATTAGGATTTAAAAAAAAAACAATCACTATTTTATTAAGTTTGTTGTAGACCAAGAGAATGTGCTTTGTTTATTAAAGTATCTGAGATTAATCCATACTTCTGCTTTTTGTCTTCTCACAGCTTTTCATGCAGATTGATGCTCTCTTTCCAAAAATGTTTGGAACCTGGACAGACTACGCCAAGAAGTATTGCAATGCCCACTACAGGTGAGCTGCAGAAAAGTGTTAACCAAATTATTTTTAGCCAAGAGCTGAAAGGAAAAGAAAGATACAGTACACAGATATCAGCTAAAAAGAATCATAGAAATGCCAGTCTCTGAAGATTTCAAACTTAAATGTTCTTACATTAAACAGAAATGTATTAAAATTTGATGACAAATGTATCAGACAAAGTGAAGCTATTTGAAGCTGCTCAGCAACCCTAGGAAGGCCGGCCACCTAGTTTGGTAATTTTGGTAATTACTGGCATATCGTTTAGCTATTTCTAGAAAATATTTATTCATTTTGACTGTTATAGTTAATATTTAAAAGAATATTTTTTGGAATAACTAAGGTCATGGGGTTAACATTATAATTGAAAAAATATACTCAAGGTTTAGAAAATTCTCAACTCTTAATAGAAACCTGACTTTGATTGTTGTTATTGAAGGAACCTCATCCTGTGAGACAACTTTAATTTGTTCATCTTTATGAGAACCAGGGTCTGGTAAAATTTACTGGATCTGTCCTGTGGCTGTGCTGCTGACTGTGTACGTGGCCAAAACCAGTACTCAGCTGAAGCACATATTAAAATGCAGGCTGGCTGCTGCCATCAGTCCACCTGTCCATGATCAGCTACATGTGTGAGCACACACATCCGATGTATAGTATTGGACATCTATCACAGCAAGGAGAATGGTCCAGAAAAATGGTCCAGATTTCAATAATGCTGAAATGTTTCTGTGTAACAATGTGTGTGCAAACCTCGCATATAAACAAACACACTGTCAGCTGCAGTAAACCTAGCAGTGTGTGTGTGTGTGTGTGTGTGTGTGTGTTATCTCTGTACCTGTTCAGTTGCAGCAGTAGCAGCAGTGGACAGCTTCTACTTCAAGTCACTGCTCCACAAATAAGAGTGGACTCTATTTTTCTCAGAAATGACACGTTTGAAAGGCCGAGTGTGAAACAGTGAATTCTGCTTCTGTCTTTCACTTCTGTCACTTGTCCACGCTCACAGCCTGTTTGGCAGAAAACCAGCCTTTGTCTGAGTGTCTGTATGTGTGTGTCCAGTTCTGCTTTGAATTTCCATTTTGCTGATGAGTAGTGAAAGTTGTTGGTGAGTTTTTGGGATAAACCTGCTTCTACTACTGCTGTTGTGCCCATTATACAACATTGTTTCCTTCTCTGCAAATTGCCCCTAAGCAAAAACCTGATTCCCTGCCTGCTGTAGCAGATCAGCTCAGCTGTAAACAGTGGCAGGCAGCATGGAGTGCGCTGCCAGGTTGCTCCCAGGTTGGGATGCTTATATGTCTTTAGCTATTCCTTCAGGGCACAGCTGTAAATAAGAGCGTCTGTGTTATTGTGTGTGGGCGTGTGTTTTCTCTGTGTATGTGTGTGTGTGTGTTTTCTGTGCATGTGTTTCTGCCTCACAAACGACAATTGTTTCACCTTGCCATCAATTTATCAGGTACTTTGGGCCTCGTAGACAGTGGGACTGTAGGGGAGCATCCAACCTCGAGGAACTTCACCAGAAACTGAGCCAGATCATGATCCGACGGCTGAAGGTTCAGGTGCTGACTCAACTGCCCCCCAAAATACGTCAAAGAATCCCCTTTGACCTACCCAAGGATGCTTCTAAGGTACAACAGCTGGTTGTAAAAATACAATGTCCCCAAATATGTTAAACACATCAACAATCCAGTGTGTAGTGCAAACACACCTTCACAGCCTAATATTTCTCTCTTTTGTTAACGGTTCATAGTATTATTCTGTGACCTCAGGTAAAAAGAAATCTTGGTAAAATCATCTGCTGCTGAAGACAAACCTACAGCAACCCAAATCTATAACCTTAGACATGTTTACTGCTTTTTTTGGCGATAATGGACATCATTTTAATGAGGGGACTGCTGTTAACAACAATTCATGCTTTCACACAAAAATATTGACAAGATTTTATGTTTATAGCAACTGCTATGTCACCAACAGTGTCATGGAATGTTTTATGCAGAATCACGTCTTGGTGTTTAATTCAAGAATCCACTCTTCACTATCTCCTATATGCTATGTATGTGTGTGTGTGTGTGCTCGCACATGTGCATATGTAAATTTATGGATTCTGACGTGTCATTTTTTTTGTGTGTTGGCTTCTCTCGTTCAGCCTGCGTATACTTACGGCTGCAGTCTCTTCCTCCTCCACACTGCATGTCATTGTCTCAGTGTAAGAACGTGCACGTGAATGCTAATGTGGCGCTGCCCTGTCACTCACTCTGCCTTTTTGATCACCCATTGTTTAAGCTCTGCAGCAAAGAGCCACAGAGAAATCCACAATAAAATGAACCCTTTTGGAAAAAGAGTGGAGGAGCTCGCTCAGCACTAATTATGCACCGTTGCAGCTCTGACATTCCAACAGGGAAGTTGTTAGGGAAAGTGATGATGCAGGATTAAACTTAAACTGAAATGTTAGGTGACACTATAATTGGAGGCTAAATACGGTCAGTGTTTCGACATGTTGGAGCCAATTAGGCCAAAGAACGCAGAACGTAGAACCACTGGAAAAGTTCACATCCCGTTGTCTTGTCCTTCTTGTGTTATCTGAAACTGCAGCTTCCATGTGTGATGTCCCCACACTTACACACACATACACACACACAAACCCGATCTTTTTTGTTCCTGTGAGGAATCTGTGAGGTTTTTTGGGGGGTCTGTGAAGGAAAACAGCCATGATGCTAAATGGACAGTTTAAAAACAGGAGTGTGAAGTGGTCACTCACCCAAGCCTTCAACAATTAAAGTCTTCACAGAAATTGTGTGGACATTATTCTCCTATAAACACATTCTGAGCCTAGTATCTGTAGCACTCACTGCTTCATCCCTCCCATCTCATTCTACTCCCTAATGATGGCTTTTATCGTCCACAGCCAGACACTTTTTATGTCCCTGCTGCCCTTTACCTTCAGTCCTGTCTGCAGAAAATCACACAGAGTGGACTGTTCAGCTACTCAAGTTTATTTATTTTTTTACAGCAGATAATGTAGAAATAGTCAAATGGGAAGTTTTAATGAGTCACCGTGAGACAGTGCTGGCTGTGAAACATCTGAGGAGGAAGAAAGACATAAAGGAAAAAACAGCAGCTTCCAGCTCCTCCTCAACCGTTGGTGTTTATTCACTCAAACCGTCCTTGACTTTGACGATATTGAGGATTCACTGAAATGCTAATTATGGCAATAAACGCCGTGGAGCGTTTCACGTTTTCACTACCATCTTCTAATGAAAGCGTTGAGCAGCACCAACAGACAAATTGTCGTATTGAAACTTTTCACTCAGTCTGTTTTGTGTGTGTATGCTCACATTAATAAGGCGGCTCTTCTCTTCTCACACGGTTTTCTTCTTCCCTTTCGACCCCCTTTACACACACTCACTGCCACCTCTTCCTTCAGTCACCATATGTTTCACACACTCTTTGTCAATGCTTGTTAAAAAAAACTCGAATCCTGCGGCGGCTTTACATTCAGACAACTTAAATTAGCTCCTGTGAACAACAGATGCAGAGTAATCTGGAAAAAAAGTGAATGGCTTAGAAGATTTAAAGTGAAAGTTCAGGTTCTTTTTAAAGTTTGTAATTTAAAAAAAAAAATCAGTCATATAAGACTACACTAATAAAATCTGCATTTGCTGAAATTTATAGTTTTTTGAGGATATATTTTCTTCTTTATCTTACTGTTATACATTGTCTTTAACAGTAAATTGAAGATTGAAAACTACCCAGTCTCCCACACAAAAACATTTAGAGAAAACTAGTGTTCTAGCCTTCATAATCACAGGCAGTGCTGTTCTACCGCTGCCTTGTTGTGAGTTTGTGTTACTGAAGTGCAGTTAAAATGTACCTGAATTAGCTGAAAGAATTCCTATTGATAACCTTAGCTGGACAGCCAGTTAATTAAAGCTTAAGGTTTGAAAAAACAAAAACCACAAACTGAGTCATTGTGTCAAGAGATAACATCAGCTTAGCTGGCCGTTATATTTGTATGTTTGTGGATGGCTTGAATAATGCTTAAATTAGACATAGAAAAAGTAAAGCTGGTTTTAGAGCTTTTTTTTTTGCAGCTACGTCATTGAGAGGTCAAAATCATCCCCCTGTTAAAAATCTATTTTATGAATTATAATTCATAATTGATTTATTATTTTGATATGGACTGAAACTGTCAACATGCTGCTTCTTTCCTCATTTTCTGCATTTATGTTTTTATATTATATTTTGTAAATGAATACCAAAGCAGACGCCTGCTGCTAATTGAGTGTTGTTTTATGATAAACAGTCCCAACCTCTCCTGCGTCTCTTGTTTGTGAACAGAACACAGCATCTGCTGCTCTTCAGCATCGTTGTCTCCCACTGAGATTCTCGACGCTCTCCCCACTTCTCCTTAAATACTCCTCGCCAATCACCTTGAGAGCATGCGAGGCCGTCTTTGATTTATGGTTGCGGCCTGCTCGCTTCTCCATCTTCGACCCCAGCCTGTCACACTGTAGCTATAATTGGGAGACACTCATGACCCACCTAACATAGCAGCCCAGGCAGAGGGGGTTGCATCCTTGGGAATTCTCCCTCCCTCTCTTTTTCTCTTTTTTTTCCCCCTTCATTCTTCCTCTTCCAGGAAAAGTAGGACACCCACCAGAACCATTAATTGTTTTGCCCTTTATATCTCAAAAACAGTGCAAAAAGAAAAACGAAAAGAAGGTGCAAGAAAATGGAGGATGAAGCATCCTTAGTATCTTTGTTTCTCTTTGTTTGCAGGAGGCCACAGCCAGTTTTGCAGAATGGGAGCGACTGATGAAGAGCCTGGGCTCAGGGATCGCTGCCACTGAAAACCCTTTCACTGAGGTCATGGGGCTGGTCACCCAGATGTACAAGCAAACAGCTGTAGCCAAGGTAAAAACAGCAGCTGCTGCTTTGTATGCCCATACGACAGAACATTGCTTTTTGACAGCAATATTTCCTGCACACAGTAGCAATTCAGAGTTCTTGTAGTTCTTGTTCTTGTAAATCTCAACTTATAATATAATAATATTATATAATATAATATTAATATAATAATCTAATTGAATCAAATATAAAACCAAAGCATCCAGTGCCACTACCAGGGCATTGGCATTTGACACAATATGCCCTCCAGGGTCCAGGGGTCAATGTAATCTCATTACAACAGGCGGCTTCAGAGCAACAGTTAACAAGTTAACATTTATAAATCTGAGCAGGAAACAAGCATTTTTAATTTTTTTTTACCAGGGGGCAGCATAATCAGCTTGTGTCCAGTAGCAAATGTCCTTCTTGAAGTGTGGTGAAGTGAAGTCCCAGTACACAGCTGGGACTTTTTTGTAGGGTTACCTTCCTTTCCCCAGCTCCCTAAAAGAAGATGAAACAACGTAACATAAAATTTACAGAATACATAATAAAAATAATTAGTCACTGATTTTATGAGGATGACGGTCTTGATTGTAGGTGTAGGCTGTCCAGGCTGTTGTAGTGAAGTAGATACTGTAGTCCAAGCATGAGCAGCAACGGTTGCATTAAGCACAGTTTCATCAGCAGACGGTTTAATGTCTGTCTTTTCTAACTACACTCATGGTTGGTCAGTTCTTATGTGTGTCTGTGCAAGTTATTAGAGTCAACTCATTCTGACATTTTCATTTTTACATGCTTTACACTCTGCTTTGGTTTTTTAAAAGTATCCAAAGTTAAATTGCAGCAGCAGTGTCTCGGTGCTCACTGCTCATTAACTGTTTTTTCTTCCTTTCTTTCTCTCCTTTTTTCCACCAGTTTCTCTCACTGTACATGTGTCCAGTTGTTTGTAACACAACCTTTCTTGACCTGCTCAGAGCAGACACATGCACATACACACAAACACACACACAATGTTTGGCTGAGAAACTAGAGCGAAAGAGAGAGAGAGACAGAGAAAGAAACGACTCTGACTCACCACGTACCATGAGTACCATCACCGGTACTTCTTTAGGGTGAGTTTTCAGTGAACTTGAAGGCAATGCAATGGGTTGTTTTTTTTAAATCTTATTTCAAATGACCAAATATGGCAGCAGTTGACCATTAACTCTGGTTTTCTTATGCAAACATTTCTCAGTGGATTTGGGGGGAGTGTTTACAAATAATATAAACCATTTTTTTACCTTTAAAGCCCTTATTTAAGTAATGCTTAACTTAGTAAGCATTTAAAGCAGGTATTATCCAATCAATGTAACACCATGATTACTTTACTACTGATACTTACTGTTGTTTTTTTGTTTTGTTTTTTTCAGTATGAGAGAAAAGTTCACTTTCCTCCCATTCTTTACTTACATCATTACCTTAAAGTCCCGTACATTTTTGCAATTGTAATGGTTATGTGTCAAAACTATTCCCACCACTGTTTGCCATCATTAGTATCACGCTGACATGCCGTGGGCAACTCAGTATATGTGTGATGGACGTGTGCCCTGTGGTCATGAACTCATCTGAACGTAGCTAGTTCTTCATTTAAACCTGGTTTAAATGTCTCCGAAACGTCATCCTCCTTCGCCATCAGTGCCTTCGAATGCAGTGAACGCTGATCACAGTGCTCTCCATCACCATCGCCATGGTAACAGGGCCTAATGGTCGCCCGATGAGAAGCACTTAGACAAAGTAGGTACTGCTAACTGAGGTATTATTTAGTTGTGTCCAGCTTGGTGTGATTACACCTTATCTTAAAGTTGCACGCTGCACAAAAATAGCATCTCTGTGATGGTGTTGCTATGGAAACTCAGCCGGCTCTCAGTTTGAAGTGACTTTTTTTAATGAGAGCGGAAAAGGAAGAAACGTGGGAAGATGGTGTATGTGTACAGTATCAGAGTGAAACAAGCAAAACATTTTGTTTTTCTGTCTGTTTTCTGGATAATCTTAGTCTCCTGCTGAGAAAACAAACTCCTGGTTTGAAGGCTCACCTGGAGTTGGCTTTCCCAAAAACAGTTATTTACACTTGTTCCTACTTAATGATACCAGCTGACAATCTCATAACATGGCAGATACAGTTGAGCACTATATTAAATATATATAATATATATAAAAAAACCACAACATTTCTGGATAAACTACCTCTTTTTTGTTAATTAATTTAAAATACTTCTTTAAAATCTTCTTGAGATTTAATGTTGGGATTTTTTTTTTTTTTTTTTTTAAATAATAAAATCCAGGAATGCACATATTTACATTTTCTTGACCAGGGCATTTTACACACAATGGTTTCTGGCGTGGAGTAAGATCAGAGCCTCATTGGTCACATTTCTAAGCCTTTTCTCAGTCTCTGACATTGTAGCAGAATAAACACAGTATCCTTGTCCAATCCTCCTCCATTTTCCACCACGACATTTCTCTCAATTAGCCCAACGCCCCGAGCCTCGAGGAGCAGGACCTGGAGGTTAACAAAGACCGGAGATAACCAGTGAATGCAATCATCTACAGGCTGCTCACTCATCCTGCCTCCACACTCAAATCCTTCTGTTTGCTCACTGTTGTTTGTTGATTGGATTTCTGCTCAGTTTAGCCTAAAACTGGACCTGGACCTTTTTTTGCAATGCCCTCACTTCCTCCACCAACCACTCACCCACCTCAAAACCGATATCAGTAGTCCAGGCTCATTTCCTCTCTTGCCAAATAGTGCCCTGCCTTCTTATTATAGATCAGTGTGGGGGTGGGAATGAAGTGAGAGGCTCACAAATTTAGATACCATTTTTATGAGTGAGTCACCATCACACAGTACAAGTTTGTACAGCAAATACCTTTGGGATAAAAAAAAAAACACAAGGAAATCAAATTACCTACTTACCTGGATGACTGAGGACTGTTATAGACATTTTGAACCCTAACTCTGTGAGAGTTTGGGAGGCTTGACCTCTGATATATAAACGCTTTCCAAATCTCTTGAGATATTTCTAATTATTAAAACATGGCTGAACATGAAGGACGACCATAGTCATACTTCTGGAGGTGTTTGTTGAATTGGCTTTCAATTCTGAAATTAAAATTTTCTTGAGATTGCCAAAATGTGACAACCGGATGTGTCTATTAAGGTCAAGCTACAACTAGCCTGAAATTTTCACATCACCTTGCTCCTAATCTGTGTCACTGTGACGAGCAGCTCGTCTGTCTGCCAGTCTGGCCTACGATGAAGCTGCCAAAACACTGTCTTCTGGGTATTTTTATTTCTTTACTCGCCAAGCATCTGCTCCCAATTACCCAGAGAGGATAGCTCTGAGGCTGGACTTTAAAGTGAGCTAACGTGCTGCTTCAGACAGCCCAGAAGTTTGTGCACTAATTAAACTCAGCGGAAGGAAGCGGGCAAGCTCGGCCGTCAGTAATGAGGACCCCCCAGATCAGAGCGGGGTCGACGGGCCTGGCGCAGAGATTCATTATCAGGCACGTTGGCTAATTATCAGCATGGCAGTGCTGAGGTTACCCCCCTCTGGAGCAGGTGTGATGGCTACAGAGGTTGTCAGGTGGCAGGAGGTGTGCAGATTATGAGGGTGGGATTCACAAGGAAGAGAAGAGGCCTGTCTCCTGAAGCGCAGAGCCAGCGCTCGCTCTAGTCAAATCAACCCTCCCTTCAACTCCCCAGCCGCTGCTATTCTTGGAGTGTTTTTTTCTGTCTTTTGGCCCTGGGGGCTGTGAAATGAGCCGAGGCCGGATGCTCAATGTCATGCTCATAGAGCAGCGGCGTGAACGGCCACCAGAGCCGTCACAGTGTGATCGCTGGGCAGCCGCAGCAGCACCGGGTGAAATGATATAGACGAGATACCTGCAGGGTACAGTTAACTCACCGCCACCTTCTTCGTTAGCTCCGCACTGTCAATCAAGGTCGAAGCGGAACAAGCAAAAGTGTGATGTGTTTTAATGCATCCTTACGTCAAGAACTTATAAATAAAACAACGCCAACAAAAAAAAGCCAATCCTGTAACTGCAGATAAAATAGTTCTACATCAAGCCATTTTTTTTTTGTAGAGACAATTGTATGTGTGTGTAATTAACGGTTTATATTTGTTGTTTTCTTTTTCTCGAACCACTCCTGCCTTCATTAGGTTGTTAACTAGATTTGGTTTTTAATATTATTGTTTAGATGCCCCGTGATTTGTATTTGTGGATATTCTCAGTCATTTAACACTGCTTTTGAGATGCCCCTTGATGTGTCACAGACCTTTATTTTTAGAGACCAAGCATGTTCCAAAAAGAGTTGCATTCCCTGTTGAAAAAAAGGTTTTCTAAGCTCAAAGTGTAGTCACTGTTGGCAGCTGTATTCTTGCTCAGGATTAGAATCTGTGGCTAAGGCTCTTCCTTGGTATCGGGGGGGCAGTATGGTCAGAGCTGTCTGTTATTAGTTCATGCTAACAGAAAACTGAACTGCTCCTATTTCCTTTATTTTGTGGTTTAAATTGGATTATATGCAATATTATATTTCCTTATGCTTTGTGTCACCAAATATCAACTCAACTATACACAAACACACACACACACACTAATCATATCTTCATGTTGTGCATTATTGATTTGCTCTCACTATCTGTGAGCTGACAAATGCTCCTCCGTGGCTGTGTGTGCAGCGTCCTTTTAAAGCCTGGATCCCTGGCATTCAATGGAGAATCGATCACTCAGAAAAGGACGCCGCTGTGATTAATTGACTTCTTCACTGATCAAGCCGATTCCTCTGTGTGTGGTCGAGTGGTGAAGTGATAGATTCACTGGCTCTCTTTCATCTGTGTCTATTTCTGTCTTGTTTGTGTGCGTGTTTGCAGGCGGGAGCTGTGAAGGACTACATCAAAATGATGTTGGAGACGGAGCAGCTGAAGTTTTTGGTGTTTGCTCACCACCTCACTATGCTGCAGGCCTGCACCGAGGCAGTCATTGAGGCCAAGGTAACCACCAACTGGACTGCTGTATGTGTCTTATTACTGTTGGAAACCACAGCTGAGGGGAAAACAAAAAGCTTTTTTCTGTGTTCAGACGATAATGGCAGATCAATCACTCTACATGATGACCCTTGAAGTCATCACAAGCAGTTTCAACCTCCCATTAGGAAAACTTCATTGGAAACTTCAGCAAACAAACCATTATCCCAGCTAGAAAATAAAACCATCTTAGTTCTGGACAGACAGTAGCTTGTGTGTGTGTTTTAATAGCTGTAACATCATATATTATTTCGCTTAAATGTTAAGAAGCACAACACCTATCCTAAAAGGCTTTTGGTTTTATCGTCTTGTGACAATAGTGATGGTATCTTATAGCATATCTTATAAAATATCTTATACTTCAAAAGAAACATTTTAACTGACAAGTTCAGCTTAAGACAGTCAAAGCAAAAGCAATACATCGTCAGCGCTGGTTGTCCTTTGTGCTGGTTACCAGCCACGAACAAAATAAATCGCTTCTAGTTGATTGTGTGTTTTTTGGTACCTATTGTATAAAATACTCTTGTTTTAGATCACTCTAAACATTTTACCATTGCTTTAAGAAAATTGAGTTTCAAAGTAAACTTTCCTTCAACAATTTCTTGAAGCGTTTTTCACAACTCCTCACGCGTAAACGATATCTCTCGGTGTGTCAGTGTGTGTGCTTTGGAGGGGGTCGCTGAGGTGTCGTCTGAACGAAATGCAGCCGTACGACGTGTGATAACACATCACCCGCTCTCTGGTGCTCTCGCACTAACCAATTAACAACCACGGGCTAAAAAAAGGCTGCATCGATAGGCGACATGTTAACACCAGAGCCTGAGACAATGACTGGCCTCCTGTCACATGATGTCATGACTTATGACATCATATAGCTTATGTTGCTGGCTCTATGGTGACTTTAAAGTAAATTTAAAAAGTTTATTTACATCAATGAACTTCTAACTCAAAACACACTTTCCTATAAATGCTATGATGTTAATCCTCATTTATTAGTGTTCAGAAATTGTGTAAAGTATTTTATTGAGGTTCTGCTCTTGTTATTTGAGTCTTCTACTAGGCTTTGAACTAAAATGTGTCTGTCTTGTGATGGGATCAGCGTGCTAACCTTTAATGGTTTTCTTTAGTTTTTAGGTGATCTGGGTTATTTTGTAGTACATGATCTAGGTAATGTTACAAAAAAACTTTTCTCATCTGAAGCTTTTGCCACTGTTGCAAATGTTTTCGCTGTTTCTTGTCTTTTCATTTAAATTCTTAAAGTAAATATTGTCCCTGGTTCCTTAGGCTGGTTACATCCGCATCGACGGCAGCGTTCCATCGTCCGAAAGAATCGAACTGGTGCGCAAATTCCAGAATGACACAGACACTCGAGTGGCCATCCTCAGCATCCTGGCAGCTGGAACGGTACCCAGGACTTCAGCTGACTTCACATTTTATCTGAAGCAGCAGATGTCAACAACAGAATTAAAATGAGTGTAGAACAGAGAATGTAGTAAATAAGCCTGTGGAAAAATTGGATGTGTTCCGAGGGGAGTAGGTGCTCCAAGCACTTGTGAGACAATTAGTATTGAATATTCTGTTATTAAATGCAATTTCACTTAATTAGAGTCCATTAGAACCAGAGTGGAGTGTTCCACTCGGATTGAAGCAGCTGATTTCTCTGTGATTGCCTTCTCCTTTCTCTTCACCAGGGTTTGACCTTCACTGCTGCTAGCCACGTGGTGTTCGCTGAGCTCTACTGGAATCCTGGGCAAATCAAGCAGGCCGAAGATCGAGCCCACCGCATCGGGCAGGTGTCCTCAGTTAACGTACACTACTTGATTGCCAAGGGCACGTTTGACACGGTCATGTGGTCCATGCTCAACAGGAAGGTAAATATACAATTTGTCACCACAAAATACGTATTACACAGTATCTGTGTTTTTTGTATTGCTTTATTACTAGCTCAGGGCTCATAGCAGGTAGAAAAAAACAACAGTAATCTACCACATAAACAAACACCGAATGAAAAGCCTCAGACTCTTATTTTCTTTGTTTCTGATGGTGACTTTTTTTTTGTTTAAATAGAAGGGGATTAAAAGCTCTTCCAGACCAAACTCCAGATTCATTAGTGAATTATAAATTTATTGTTAAGGTTTACCTAACTGATTACCTTGTATATGTGACTGGTTTTTCTATAAATATTGACTGTTAGCATCAAAATCAGTGACTATTATTTCTGTAGTCATTATAGTTAAATTAACTTTTTTTAAAAATATTGTTTCCTACCTTTTTAAGGTAATTAACATCTGTTTCTTCATTGTCCCTTTTGATAGCTGGTCTTTTTACTGGAATTGCTGGTTCTCAAAGCTTGCAGTCAGCAGTACTCAAAAAAACAGAGCAGTCCAAACATTCCATTATAAACAACTGTCCTGATAGATATTGATTTCTTGCTTTAACCAGGAGAATGTGACAGGAAGCACGCTGAACGGTAGGAAGGAATACCTAAAGGCTGAGGAAGGCGATAAGGACACGTGGGAGTTCCTCAATTTTGCCAAGAGCTGGTCACCAAGTGAGATGGTGCTGCCACTGCCCGGGCACACAGGGCAGGAAGAGAAAGCAATGTATTTTACTCACGTGAGTGAACCCTGAAACACAGTTGTCTTCTTGGGTTGGGTCTTTAAAGTTTGTATTGAATGTGATGATCAAACTTTTGTCCCTGTTTCTGTAGTTTGAAAAAGACAAGCAGCATGACATTAGGTCATTTCTTTCACCAAGTGGCAAAAAGAAGAAAAGAAAGAGAACGGAAGACCAAGAATGGTCTCCTGCTGTTGCATCAGAGAGTGGAAAAAGCCATGACACACATGAAAACGAGTCAGAAATGTCCCAGAGCCCAGACGAGGACTTCTCTCCGCAACTGAAGAAACTACGAGCACAGCAGAAAACTCTAAGTCCTGGTTCTTGTGTCAGGAAGAAGAGGCTTTCAGTGGTCAGCAGTCCACATACTGGTCTCGACGCCGTGGGTCCACAGAAATGTTCAGATCTCAAACCTTGCACTGATACTTGGAACTGTGAGGCCTGTACCTACACCAACAGCGGCCTGTTACCTTACTGCGAGATGTGTGAGTTGCAGCGCTCCTCATCAGGTACTATGACAACAGAATTACAACAAATCAGATCAATGTTGTTACCCTAAAAATCTTTTCTTAATATGGTAATTCCTCAATCCCAAACACCTGTTTCAGCATTTCTATTTTAAATTTATGAGAACAAAAATATTTTTTTACATGAAAGAATTCCAAAAGTTGATTGTTAATTATTAAAATGTTTTAGCCAAAACTAGCTATATTTTATTAAACAATAGTTGGCAAATGTAAAAATGTACATTTTCAACAACTTTCACCATAGGCTATTTTCAGACAAATTTAGCCACAATGGCTAAAAGTAAAATGAATGAATGTAAGCCAATGGCTAAAGTATGTTATTGTTAGTCCAGAATATCTAAATATTAGACAAGAAATTCCAAATTTTTCTTATTAGAAAACCTGTACCACATTAAGATATGTACAAAGATTTTGGCTGTACAGTGTATGTACAAAAATCTTCCTTTCCATTTATTGCATTGTACCTAAACCCTTCAACTGGTGAAAGACTTCTCATTAGTCTTGAGGTCAGTCACTCGCCTCTTTGTTTGGTTTATACTGCAGCTGACGAGGCTGAAACTCCACTTACTGCATTATTTTCCCTGCCGTCAGGATCAATCCTGACCGTCTGTTGACATAATAGTTGTGAACAGCACTACAGATTTCAGCAGATGGAGATGCATGATAGACGAAGATGGGGACAGAGTCTGAAATAGCTCTGTGACGAGAAAATTCTCTCTCTGTGTCTGTGCAGATGACAAGCAGAGAGAATAATTCTCACCTGTCAGACTCAGACAGATAGAGAGAAGGGGAAAGAAAAAGAGGAGAGGAGCCTTCCATCCCTGCAAACGTTTCTCACAAACTTAGGAAAAGTTCAGCTATGTCTTCCTGATAACTCTTGACAGCGTGTAATTATGTTTGGGTAAAGACAGGGAGGTTAGCGTGACCTGGCTACTGCAGGTTAATGCTCTTAGATGACTTACCGGTACATGAAAAACATCCACAAACTCAAACACATGTTTAATGCTAGGGTTAATGTTAAACAGACTGAAATGTCTGATGTTTTTCTACACTAAATAAAGCAATAGTTTAGTTTTGTTGTGTGAATGAATGAGTTCCCCATGCAACAAGATTTTTAATAACACAGAAAGCCTTACAATCTATGTCAAGACAGGCAGTTTTACCACAGGATTTTAGGAGACCGTGGTGGGGTGGGGGACAGTCAACATCAGGAAATAGTTTGAAATCATTTTAACTGATCAACAAGAGACTTGCCTAAATTATATGTAAAAATTCTATCCAAAAATTTAAAGAGGAAATACCCAGCAGTCAGGTTAAAACTTTACCAAACAACACAGATTGGAACACAGAACAGTCAGGTTAAAACTTTACCAAACAACCGAAAGAACTGGAACATCACCTGGGTCAGCTTAAATCAACCACAAAGTGCTTAAAGCCAGGTGCAAATTAGCAGGGAAAACAGCTTAAGTTTAGTCATTATACTGTACAGATTGGATTGATAGACAAATATAGTCACTAGGTTAAAACAAGAGCTAAAACTTGCCATAAGATACAATTTTAAATCGTATTAAATAAATGTATTACATAAATTATTTATTTTTATTAAAATATATGTTGTGTGACTGTGTGTGTGTGTGTGTTTGGTGCAGAGGAGTGTGAAGGTTTCACATTCCTCTTGTCATAAACTTCACAGCAGCACAGGAAATTTAACAAGTGCTAAATTTGTCATTGACAGCAGCTGTGCTGCTGAAAAATAACAACAGTATAAGTGCAGATGTCTGGCGACCCGGCTCGTCACAAACGTTCTCACCTCAGCAGCAGAGCAGAAACAGCAGCAATTTCTCACAGTGATGACACACACAGATGTAAAGCCGCGTCATGGACGTGGTGTTGCCAGAATCAGAAATGGAAAACTGGAATGTGAAAAAAATCACAGCACATCAGCATCTGACAGAGGAGAAATAATCTATATAAACAATGAATAATATTACATAAATAATAATAATAAATTATTCTTCATGAATTGTCAGGTGATGTCATCACTGGACTTTATCCATAATTGATTCATACTATTACTGTGTAAAACCTCATATCTCTCTGACACCAATGTTTATGTAGTTTCTGTCATTTTAGCTCGCAGGGACACAGGTGTACTACTGCCTTGTGTGTCCAGTTTATGTCACTGAGGTGATTCTGAACAAAGGATTTTACTAGCTGAGAACTTAGGCCTTAGAATAGAAAACTGTGTGCTTTCTTATTGGAGAATACACCTGAGATAAAGAGGGCTAACACCTTGTAGCGAATTACAATAATTTCAGAAAACAGACGTTCCACAGAATATAGCCTGCTAAAATTCCTATTATTATTAGAAGACATTTTTATGCTAGTTTGAAAGACTGTGTAGTTTATTCATGTGTTCATGTGCCAACCTGTTTGTGTGTTTGTTCTGATGTAACAACTAATGACACCACTGCAAATATAATTTGATTCAGAATAGAAAGGCAGGACCCAGCCCTGTAGGATTGTCTTTGTTTCCAACACACTCGTTGATGTCTTCTTCTGTAAGGATGTCTTTGGCACAAATTGAATCATCTCAGTTCAGTCTCGCTTGGCTTGTTAGTGAAGGAGGGGCAGCGGCAGGGCCACGAGCCGGGAGACACGGCTGACATTTCCAGGGAGTCGTCCAGAGGCTGGCCTTTTGACGAAACAAGCCACAGGGATTGGTGGGACGGCTAATTAGCCCTCTGCGTCCCCCCACGAAATCTCTCAAACTTACTGCCTTGTTAGATTTCACACCTCCAGTTGAACTGTGATGTGAAAGACGTGATTTTAATGTAACTAATGTAGTAGAGCCTGTGCAAAAGATTTACTTTTTTTTTTTTTTTTACCTTCAAAGACTCCACTTACTAGTACAATTCTTAAATAATTAGAGTTTGGTGGACGGTAATGGCCTAATCGTGGCATTCATTAACATTTCCCTGGCCTATATTTCTGCTTGACCTTAACACAATCACACTGTTTCTGCGTGAATGAGAAATCACAGAGGTGTTTTCATGGAAGGAATTCTGATTTTCCTGCTGCACAGCCACAGCTATGTCTGACCCTGGATCATTTTCACACAGATGCAGCCGTTGGATTTGATTGTGTCTGATGCTGGCAAACAATTAACAAAACTAAAGTGACTTAGACATAATTCATCCAAACCACAAATTATATTGGCTGTTTGATCCACGAACTGGAAAAACAATGGTGGGTAGATTGGTTCCTGTATCTGGACTAAGGAACAGGACTCACCTTAAGGAAATTCAAGACACATTTACACACAACAAAATTTAACCCATCCCCCAGTCTTTGGCCGAAAACCAAAAATTGACTTTTGATTGCTTTGTTAAATACATACATACATACAGCCCTATAGACTGTGGTGTGACTTAAAAAAGTCTATTTCAATAATCCAGGTCTATATTTTATAAGATGACTTTTGTTAAGTGAGTAAGATCAGTTTGATGTCACGCGCATCAGCAGCCCATAATAGAAGACACAGCAGTACTTGATGTAATCCTTACGTGTTATCTAGGAGATAATGTGATGATTTAAAATAACGCCTACTTAGGAGCTTGGTCAATATTTCCTCATTCAGTGCATCGTGCCTGCTCGTGTCTGTCCATCTCAATCATGCTCTCTCAAATTGTCAGTGAAGGACTAACAGCAGCTCATAATATTCACTAATGAGCCATATTGGGTTGTACTTTGATGTCAGCAGTCATTTTTGTCACACTGTCACAATCTTCACATGATGGATATCTCAGTGGGAAATGGAAAACTCTTCAAAGTCTGATTACACTCTGCAACTTCAGCCAATAAACTTGTCTCAGTCTTCCTCTCCTCTCCTCTCCTCTCCTCTCCAATCTCTCCTGTCTCAGGTCCGTCTAAGCCCCAGCTCGCCCAGACCCACATCCTTCTCCACGACTCTGACAGTGAGCAGGAGCTGAGCCAGGGAAAAGCCTGGCCTCTGGATCCCTGCAAAGACAAACACAGTGATGAAGAGGAGGGGGAGAGTCAGAAAGGCAAACAGAACACCACAGGAGCAGAGGAGGAGGGGGAGACGGAGAAGCAGTGGCTCAAAGGCAAACAGTCGGAAGGAGATGGAGGTGAGGTTGTTGTCGCTGGAAGCAGTGGCAGCGACCCCCTCCTCCCCCCTCACCACACACAGGGTAATCCCACCTGCAATCTTCTCCTTTTCATATCTTGGGAAATTGGTGGGGGCTGCTTTGTCACCTGCCAGAATAACTGTTTAATATCATCACTTCAAACCAATAAGGGAGAAGATCATGTTCTATATGGGTCTAAGCAGATTTATTATTATTTTTGCTATTATTATTGGTTGACTATTATTATTGTCTACCTTGAGAGTAATAATACTTATATCTGCACACAAAAGGATGCAGAAAAAATAAAATTGATTTCTATTTTGGATCATGGCTAATGTTCAACACTTTGACATTATTTTGAAGGGCCATCATCTACTTCATGGCCTTAAATGTATACATACATTGTGTAGATTTAGTGTTTTTCTAATTATGCGTTATCTTATATAGTGTCATATTTTAAAAAAAATTCACTTATTGGCATCATCCAAAATATCAACGTGTTAACAATCAAATCAAACTTTTACCTGTAGTATATCTTCAAACCCAATCAATAATTCAGGTTCTTTTTTTTAAATACCGATTTTATAGTGTGATCCTTGGGTGTTTATTATTATTATGGTGCTTTTATTGGGTAAAAGTTTTATATCAGCTGAATTATTTGGCAAAATGTGACTAATAGCAGTGAAATAGCTAATCTGTTAACATCTTCAACTATCCAGCCCCGATGGTGCTAAATAGCTAATCTGTTAACATCTTCAACCAGCCCCGATGGTGCCAGTTAAAAAAAAAAAAAGTGTGTAGCTATGCTTGGTTTTTCCCTCCCGCAGCAGCTAAAACACCGCCAGACTCTACGTGCACTCTGCTTCACTGTGCACATATCTGCCAGAAACAAATTCCCAATTACACAGTTGGTAATATTGCAAATGAAGAGCTGCATGTTCAAGTCTCTGAGGGAAACACAAAGCAATAAATTGCACTCATTACAAAGAACTAATTACAGTGTGTGCGTTATGAAGAGCTGTGGGATAAAAAAAATAGCCAGATGAGCAGAGTCTAAGAAAAGCCCAGGACCTGGGTGTGGCCTTTTAGATGGATAAGACATGATGAAGGATGAGAGTCAGCTGATCACAGAGATGTGACCACATTTGACCTGTTTAACCTGTAGATGCTGCAACAACATCTAGACACAGAGGGTTTGATTTCTTTGTCATCACTGTCCTCACCTTCAGCACCGTCCTCTCCACCAACTTAAACACAGCATCATCACCCCATCAACGTTCAATCATTATTATCATTGTCATAATTTTTATCATCAACAACATTGTCGTCCAAATGATCATTATTACATTCACTACCACCATCAGGATCATAATTAATAGCAGCAGCAAATACCATCATTGTCATCTTCAACATTAAAATTATCATCATCAAAATCATCATCACTATCACCACTAACCATCATTGTCATGTGATCGTTGTAAAACCTAAAAATATTCAATCTGTGATTTATCTGTAAATCTGTCTCTCCTTCTACCTATTGTTTGTCTTTCATGGACTCTATCAGCCCCCGTCTTACTCTGGCTGGTATTGTTCATATCTTGTTTTGTTTATATTTGTTAGTTCAGCTGTCTTTGAATTTGTCCTTCCTGTCTCTGTCTCGTTCCCGCTCTTCTTTTTTCCTCTCTCCCGCTCACTCTGTTTTCTCTGTCTCTCTTGTGTCTCTGTTTGCTCAGTGTGGTCTCCGTGCGTCTACATCTGTGTGGGTTTTAATAGGAGACGCAGCAGTTGTCCAATAAAAGGGACCTTTCGGTTCAGGAGCCGAGCTGCGTCCCTTTTCTCTACCTGCTCCTCTGTTTTTTGGGGGGAGGGGTTATATTTTGGAGGGGTGAACCACAGAGCTGTCGTCTCTCCTCCATCTACTCCTCCCTCTTTTCCTCCTCTGTGCTTTTGATTGCTCTGAGATTACTTTCCTCACGGCACAAACAGGCAATCACTTCTACTCCACCTCTCTGTCTTTCTTTCTTATTCTGTCTATCTGCATGAACCCTACCTGGAAAATGCAGACACAGTTTTTTCTTCCTGTGAGCTACTGTGCGTGTTACTGTGTTCTAACATTTCAGAAGTTCAGGCTTTTCACATCCTGGTTTTTCGATCTTGTGGAGGATGAGATGACGGTCTCCAATTAGGCGTTGTTTTTCCCTCTCTTGCAGTAAAATAACAGATAAATCCCTTGGGTAGTCCTGAAGCCACTGTTCATACTGTGTAAGTGACAGGCTAATAAGACGCCTTTGGAAGATGAATTGCCTCTATTGTATAAATGGCCCACTTAATGCAGCCACCACTGGAAAGCAGGAGGTGGTTGTTGTTTTAGTGAGAACAAATATCATCCACACATCTGTGAGCTGTTCACTCACAGATCAGGGTCAGAAATTAGAACAGGCTCAGGGAGCGACCTTGAAATATCACACTGTGATCTTGAAAATCTCCTGATGGAGTCTCGTAATTCTCTAAAACAATGGGACTCATTTTTGTCCTGCTAGGCTATCGTAACACACTGTAATGTATTTTTCCATGTAGAACATAAAAGTGATCATACTGAAGTTAGACCGTTAAAGTGATGAAGGATTGCAAAGTAGATAAGTGTGAGCTGAAATGTGGTAAAAAAAAGACTAAAAATACATATTTCAAAAATATGTTTTCTTACAACTTACAGTCTGACAGTGCAGCATTCGACTGTTTTAACAGGACAACATCCAGCTCCCCAGTACTACATTAATATAACTAAGATAAAATAACGTAATTAATTTTTATATTTATTTAAATTATCCTATTTGTGCTGGGCAATGATTACAATTTCAACGACCATTAATTGCATAATTATGTGATTAAATTGCGAATAATGTCATCAAATGAAATCTGTAAAGTCTGTTTTATCTTCAGTAGCAGATGATCTTTTGGAGGTGACGTGGTTGAACACACAAATTACAGCTAGGAGTTCCTTCCTTTCCTCAGCCCTCTACAAAAGAACGACCTTCCAGTTCCCAACCAGTTCCCAAATGGCTCCTAAGATGTTTAGTTGTTTAAACAAATTTACCAAATAATATCGTGAAATTTTGTTTTAAATAATCAACATTAGAGAGAGAACATTGTAAAATAAAATTCACAAAAAAACAAACAAACTAGAAAATACCAAAAGAATCAATCTGAGATTGTGTAAAAAGAGGGTAGGTCTGGAAAGTTGTTGTGTGAGGTAAATGATGCCGTAGTCACAGCGTCAACAGTCGCAGTAACCACATTGTTGTCAGTAGCAGGTTCACTTGTCTGTCTGTCTTAACTACACTGATGGTTGGTCAGTTTTCACTAAGAGAGAGCTTGTTGCAGAGAAGAAACTCTCTGAACCCTTAGACAGTATACAGATCCAATCGTTCACTTCACAGAGCCAGCTCTGGAGCTATTTTATTTGCGACTGACCAATCACCAGTTTCCAGTTTTACCAAAGGTGAAGTCAAAAATAACTTAAAAAATACAAAGATTTTGCTTATTGGCCAAATTATGTCACGGTCAGCAGGTTTGACAGTCTTTTCAGAAAAGCCTGATGGGAAACCCCAGGGTCAAAGCCTCGACACCCAGAGTTTCAGATCCTGCACTGCACCTATTCAGGTGGAAAGGTGTTACAGCACATTAACAACCCATTGTGTACACAGACAGAGAGAGAGAGAGAGAGAGCAGAGGACTGGCTGTGTTCAGGGATTTAAGGCAGTTCTATCCAGAGTGTTATAGGTCACTGTGTAAATGAAGCGCCATGGTGCAGGGACGCTCTCATTTCTAATGCCTGACCTTTTCACACTGGATGGTAAAAGGATGAGCAGTAACATCTCTGAGTATAATGACTTGCTCGCTCTCTCTCGCTCTCTCTCTCCCTTCCTCCCTCCCTCCCTTTCTCTCTCTCAGTTCTGGTTGCTGACTCTCGTTCTTCCGTCTACCTCACTTCTCATGTTACACTCTAATGCGTGTCTACTTTCATTCTTATTTTAACATTTAATGTAGCCCAAAACATGGATCTCTAAAACCCATTATTATTATTGTTTAACTGAAGTTAAAAAAAGGTCTAAACAGTTCATGATCTTTAGTGGTTTATCTACTTTTTTCACTTACTTTCAGCAGTTCATTCATGTACAATTGAATAGTCATAAAAAAGCCCACCTAGGGCTGGGGATTTAAACACCTAAAGCTCCTAAAGCCACTTTTAATCACCAGAGAAGCTCACAGGCACATCAGTAAAGCTGTGAAAGCCAATAACATGTGCTCAGTGAGATATTAGTCAGACTGTTCCTGTTGTCTTTTTCCCTGCAGACCAGACGCATCCTTCTGCTCACACTAATGACACGAACCAGGACAATGATGGAGACCCAACTTATCCAGTCTACGCAGGCCTGCAGTTCCGTGCCAGCCAGTACACAGACAGAGTCTACCTCTACACCAAGGTACTGGTTTACACTCATTATATGTTATAGATCTAATAAGACCGTACCGACCTACTTGACTCTAAACAGTCTGTTAGAATGTGTGAATGACAATAAGCCCAGAAACACTCGTGAGCTGGATCTAAAGTGCGAGAGCACAGTATTTAGTGTCACTGAAGAAAATCAGTTATGTTTTTTAAAACAAAAGTTGGGAAATAACATCCATTTTTAGAAAGTGAAGATATATATTTGAACATTTTGTGCCAAAGAGGTAAAGTGAAATTAGTTTATGTAACATAAAAAACATGTCCGTTTCCTTTACCACAATCACAGTCATATGAATCTCAAGCCATGATGGTACGTTTTAATCACTACCCTAGTCAACTGTACACTATATCCACAAACTCAAAGACAGACACATTGTAAAACTACTATTTAAAAAAATATATATAAGTAAAAAAGGCCATTGTTTTTTGTGTGTGTTTATTTTATGAATATTGTAGATTTTAAGATCTGACTTCAATAGTTGGTTGAATCCCCAGTCTGTTTAGGAAACCGTAGTTTGTAAATCGCTCACATCAAACACTCTTAACAACGCCCGATGAAAAATATCTGAGACTCGATGTCACAGAACACAGAAGAATGAGAACAATCAGACAATTGAAATATTTTATTTTAAAATCCTTCAGACTTATCTCACCAACACATAATGGCCACAGAGGAAGCAGCGGAGCAGCAGTTGCTTCTTCTCTATGAACTAAAATTTTTGATTTGCTCTAAGCAGTTTTATAAAGAAGAAATGGTTTCCTGTGTGACGCGGCTGCAGCGACATGAAGCAGTAAACTTTCTTTTTTAATCCTTTTACATTGTTGCCGCTTTTGTGGATGTTATTGGATCTATCAATCATTTGCACATTGTTGCTCTTTCGAGGACATGATCGGAAAACAGTCAGTCTCAGATCCAGGAGAGTGAATCCTTGAGTAAAAGAGCAGTTTGTTGTGTGGAAAACAGACATAAAATTCCTTAGACTCAATATTTCTCCTTCAATCCCTGCTGACAAATCTTCCCGCGGTTTTTCACACTGAGTGTCCCCCTGTGTGAAATCAACACTGGGTCCAGGATTAGCCCGATGAGACGGCTTTTCATCCTGAATTCCTCCAGTTTGTCATTTAAACGACATCGAGGGGACATTTATCTGTGTGGCTTATTGTCTTATTCATTCATCTTGTTGCTGCTGTGGTAATTTTCCACTGCTGATTCACTTCAGTGCTGTAGTCCAGCTGAAGTCTACTACTACTACTATGTTAATTCAAAAACAGATTGTTTATTAAAAAAATTAAGCTATAATAAAACCCTTAACAATTATCCCTGTTGATCTCTAATTAATGTTGTGATTGATGGATCAATTATGTGATCTTTAAAAACAAATAGAAAAATGGTTGCAAAACCAAATCAATGTTCCCAACCTTTATGATGACAAAGATATCCAGCATGTAAATGAATTATTCATTTGGAGTCATGAAGTCAGAGACATCCAGCCTTAAGGACAGCTCGCTCATCAATCAGTAGAAGTAAACAGCCCTGATGTCGTTTTGCTGTGTCCAAATTCATCAAGATCAGACAAGTCGACAACGCCCCCTGCCAATAAGAGAGTAATAACCAAGATGATCAGACTTTTCTAACACAGGTTTTTAAAGTTACCAGGATGTAGCCTGTTTTTCATACAACAATATTTTTTTATTTTATTTTCTTTATTTTTTACTATGTCCTTACAGTAATGTGTGGAAAATAATCAGAACTGGAAAGGTGTTTTTTTTTTTTCCTAAATGAAAATCCATCACCTGTAATGAATAATTTTGTCTCACGTGTCAGAATGAATGTTTTTTTTTCCTTTCTCTTTTGTTCAATTCAGATCTGTTTCCTTTTTTTTTCATTGAGAACAAACAAAGCTGTTATAAAAGTAGGAAACGTGCAGATCCTCACACACACTCAATTAGCAAAGCGGAGAGATGTGAGGAAATCGTTAGAGACGCTTTAGGAAAGTCAAAAGTTTAAACTGATTTCTGAAATAATAATGAACTGACTTTCAGTAAAATGCTCTTTCAGCTGCTTCTGTCTCCAGTGGGCACATTTAAGCCGCCTCCTGCATGTGAAACTAACTAAAACAGACTTTAATCACACTGCAGACAATCATTTTGATTGACACACTGACAACACTACTGCACTCATTGGTCCATTATTCCTTACTTAAACTGAAAGGTCAGCTTAGTAGGTTAGTTATTCCAAAGATAATTAAAGAAAATTTGGTCAGAAGTAGATGAAACATATCCCAAAAAATTAGAGTTCACCCAGGAGTCACTGAAATGCAAAAAATACCACCCATAGCCATCACTTATCAAAACTTTTCAAATACATTTTTCTTTTTACAGTTTGAGTACCATTACTTTAATTTTGTACTCCCTGGGGGTTGCATTGACACTGATGTAATGAAAGTCAAGTTGACGTTCATAGTACATGATGACATCATTGATTTATTTTGGTCATTAATGGACAGAATATGTACAAAACAGCTGGTATATCATCAAGAAGAGACCACTCTGCTGTTATACATACAGTTCCTTCCACCATACTGATGCTACAAGCAGCTGTGCCTTCCTGTTTCTTTCTATGAGGCGTTCATGTTGCTGTTAAACACCTCAAAAATGTTTGATCAACAACTTGTCGACACAAGTTTGGCATCTGTCGAGAAATTGAAGCCTCCACAAACGTATACCGAGTTTTGAGTTAGTGTTAGAAGAGAAGCGTGTATTTACACCGATAACAGGTGAATGGACAGTGCATCGAAATGCACTAACATTTGTATTTGATTATTTTCACAAATTAATCAACATGTTAGTTCTGGCAGACTTATATATAATCTTGTGTGTTGTCTGTATATTTGTATCGTTCACAGAGCAGGAAAACAGTTGTTTTTTTTTACCAAGACTATTTAATGTTTCTAGTATTTTTCAATGTGAATATGGGGGAAAAAAGAATCCTTATACACACACAAAGATACATACGCACACACAGCTCACTTATGAACTCTGTGGTAGGCACACAGGTTACCATGGTAACCAGTGAGGACCAAAGTGAGGACAGATTAACGAAGATGGTTATAATTAGATAGAAATTATAGATGTGATGTATGAACAAGGCCTGTAATTACACACAGCTGTATTGTTTTGAACAGATCAAACTGATGCTCCAAGATTCACATCTCATCTGCTACAATCTATAGTTTGCTTTTCTGCTTTTCCTTTTGTTTTAGACATTGATTTAATTCGATGCCATTGTATCACAGATTTTGTAAAAAAAAAAAAAAAAATGGATGCATTCACTTAATTCACAACTTCAGGTTTTTTTTATTAACTTATATAAAAAATTAAAATTATAAAAATTATATAAAAAACATACAGTCAGGAAGGAGCCAAGTGTCCAATCAGGGGTCAAAGGTTTTCTGCAGTCTGCTGTGACTGTGAGCCCACCTGCCACTTTTTGCCTCAGTTTAATTGTTATAAGACTAATGAGACTGACAATGTTGACAAATTGTTCTAATGATTTAGACAAATTGTGGAAATACTACAAAATTTGATATTTTTGATTTCCAGTCACTATGCTTGACATAGTGATAGTAACTTTTTGCTATTAAAAAAAATCTTAATCATAAAAAAAATAAATCAAGCATTTTAGGTTTGTTTTAAAAATGTTGAAAATACATACTTTTATAGTATACTTGTCATTAATTTATATGTAGTTATGAACAACAGACACTGAACAGACATTTAAAATGACCTGGGTTTTGGCTCTTACTTAGAAATTGTACCATGTGTTTTAAGAAATTCTGACAGTGTAATGCTAGTAAATGATTATCTTTATCATCACTATATTCAGAATTACTGTAATCGTTGTGGTTCTCCTCTGTTAGGACGCTCAGCCGCTGAACTTGAGCTTCATCCCTCTGGATGTCAAACTTACCAACTGGGACGACCTGCCCGAGGCCTTCACCTGCTGCCGTGAAAATCAGATACA